AAATAATTAAATTGGTAGTTGACACCATAGTACATGGATATGCTTTACATACAGTTTATGGTTGGTCGATTTAATTAGTAGGAGCAGTCTGGAGCTCTGTAACTCATCTGTTTTTACACTTATCGCATAATAAAGAAGAAAAATTGAAGAAAGAAAAGCCAGTTGTAAAGAATAGAGAAGAGCAGGTAGAAGCTCAACAAAAAAGTGACGTCAAGGTTCTCCCAGAACAATACTATCCTAGTCTAAGGGAAGTCCAACATGGGGCATATGTATAAGAATAAAAATATATCTATATATGCAAAAACAATATATAATGAATGTGTGTATATGTAATGTAAGATGCACTGAATTTTCTTTTATGTAAAAAAATTTTTCTTTGAGTTATCTTTGCACTGTAAAAAAAAGGAGGGGGAGAAATAAATTAATATATTAATACCATATTAACTTTTGTATAATCCAGAATATCATGTCATTGATAATCTATATAATTGACATGGATGGATTCATGGTGAACAAAAGGTTCTTATGCAAGGAGTTTAACTTGATAAATGTGTCAAGTGGAAAAGTTGGACATTCTTATCATCAAGTAGGAGAATACAAACGGTTAAGTGATGCAGATAGAAGGACAGCAAGATATCTAAGAAAACAAATTCATGGGATGAAGTTTGAGGACCAACCAAGAGATAAACCGCAAGAAGACATCAGTAAAAAATAGAAAGAGTTAACAGCTGAAGCAGCGACTGAAGGTGGACGCATAGGGTACAAAGGAGGCAAGGGAATAAAAATTCATTTTAACTTAGAAAACTTAAAATATCCAAGGTTTGATCAGTTATATCTCTAGTATGAGACACCTGAAATCAGAAAGAAGCTAGCAGAATTAGCTTGTGGACGTCACGAGAAGATAGAGAAAGTAAAAGGGGAAGGAAAGACTATTGTGGTAGACACATTTTTAGCAGTAAATCAATAAATTAAAAAGAAAGGAAATTTTTAAGTATATATTTTATGAAAAAGGAGCAAGGTAGTCGAGAGGAAGAATATCTGCAGTAATATAAGAGATATATATCTATATATATACTTTTTTTTGGTTGATTAAAAAAAAATATATATAAATATTGACACTATAGTTAACATATATATTCAATACAGGTTATGTATCACACGTATGTATCCTTGCTCTATTTTTATTTGCTGCGCATTCTTATGCGCAATGAGGAGAATAGGTACTAACGAGCTTCGACTGTAGACAAAATAATCATTAAAGTTTACTTTCATTTCAAGTATCCGTGCAGTTATTTCATAAAACCCGGGGTTTTATTGCTCCCAGACCTACAGTAGACAATCGGAGAGTTTGCGTCCGGAAATGCGTGCGGTAGAGTAGTAGTTATCCCGCATGAGTGATGAAAAAAATTTTTTTCTTTCTAATGAAATAATAATTATATAGTAATTCGTTTGTTCATGCTTTTTTATACATAAAACATTTCAAATTATCTTACCTGTATTAAAAACCATATCCTATTCTTTCAGTAGATACTGTAAGTTTAACTTTTTTTTGTTAGCACTATTTTACTTCTTTAAGTTTTTTCAAAACTATTTCAGATTCTCGTGTAGTACTTGGCACTATAAGGCGGCGATGACTATCAGGACTTTACCATCTTCAAAGGCAGATTAGAGCGATTATAAATAATTCCTATTTAAATGCCATACATGAACTGTGAAATATATAGTCATGTATATGATAATACATGTATGTTTCTATTAATGCACGAAGAGAATTTTTTCAGTAAATGTCAGTGCAAAAATGACAAATGCACTTTTCGAAATTTTTAAGTAAAAATATTTCTGTTCAAAAGCGAATTTTGGGTTATCATAATTAGTTATTTCACTAAGTCAACTTTTAAGTATCAAGCTTACTTGCGACAACTCAAAATTTACTATCGAATAGAGATATTGTTACTTCTAAATTTCGAAACGTGGACTTGCACTCACATATAGTAAAAAAATTCTCTCCGTGTGTAATTGTAATGTAAATGTAAATATCGATGTAAATTGTTTTTTTTTGTCAATAATTTTTTACAATGCACAAAATGAAAAAAATTGTTCGAATTAAATTATTTGTGGAATACTAATCATTTAATTCACCTTCTTCTGTTATCATAATATTAGTTAATAGTCGTTATGAATTTGATGTTCTAATAACAAATAGGGAATTTTTTTTCTTTAAAATTGATTGATTTTTGAATAATTAATTTTTTTTTAATTCTTTTATTATTTATTTTAGTTTCTTATACACCTGGTACAGTAGAATCTACCGGATCACCCATAACTAACGACTCCGAAGAAAAAAATATATAATAGAAAGAATATAGATAAATAATCCGCAAGAGAAAAAATTTTATTCGCAATAGAATTTTAAATTAGAGCAATGAAAAAATAAGCGAATCAGAAGGTAGGAAAAGCGCGCGCCCCATGACAAAGGGTGGGGAAAACACATCGGTAAGATAGGGCAACCAAATATAATAATAGCGGGACCCAGCGCACAGAGGGCAGGAGATGAATTTGCAAAAATTGAAATAAATTTGGGAGCGTGACATCCGTCCCCAATAAGATGTCAGTCAAAGGCATTTTTACAATCTTTTAAATTTAAATCTTTAAATGTATAATCGCACTGATTGTCAATCAAATTCTATGATGCCCAGATTTTTTATCTAATGATCATTTTAAAAATAAGCTTTATTCTTTTAATCTTTCAAAATTGTTTTTTTTTTATTTTCAATCATTCAATATTCAATCAAATTATAAAAATTCTTCTTTTTTAATGTTTATCATTTCGTTGAACAGTCAACTTAAGAAATTAGGACTGGTAAACTATCTTGCGTCGGTATAGTAGAAAAAAAATTCAACTAGTGTCACTGTTTTCTGATAGATGACAGTAATTGCACTGTTTTCAATCAAAAATTCAAAATGCTTATACAGCGAAAAGTCTTCTTGCTGGCTCATGTAATGTCATGTAATTCCTACTACATAAAAAAGTATATTTAGGCTTATAATCTAATGATAATAATAAATGATAATTTAAAATAGCCATGTAATTTCAATAAAGATTATACGTGAAATTACATAAAAGAAACCAAGTCATCCAGTTATTATAGCAGAAAATCCCGAAGCTGATAAAAAAGTTATCAGTAATAAAGAAGGAGCATTTTTTTTATATAATCGAACAAAAATATTATCTATATTAGATAAATTTAACAAAGAATGCATAAATGGAAAATATCCTGCATTATGAAGCATAGATAACATTGGTTTGGATACATTAAATTTAGAAGTAAGTTATAAATTGATGATAAAAGCCACGACTGAAAGATTAAAATTTCGGGTATCAAACGAGACACCGTTGAACTACAAGTCAACTTTTGATTACGCAGCTCTCTTATAGTCCAGTCATATTAAATTTTAAATCGGGAAATCTAGAAGTGGATAAAATTTTAATAGAATATTTGTAGGGGATGTAGAATTAGTTTCCCCTAAAAAAAAGTGAGCTCCGACACCGGGCAAATGTATAATTCATACGTTTATCTACAAAAAAAGAGAGAGATTTTCTCTGAGTCATACAGATTAGCTTGAATGTCATACCTCGATACCATAAATATTTTTATATGACCAATGGTCATGCTACCTTAGACCTTTAAGGCAGGTAGCACCTCGTAAGTTTACTTAGACTTATGGATGCAGGCAGGGGTTCACGCAATTTCCAGATGTGTTTTAAATTCACTCAACATTTTTTTTAAATTCTTAACTTAATTATAATTGTTAATTAGCTATTATTCAAGTATTAGCAACTAACAGAATACAAAAAACAACGTCTTGAAATATTTTAATCATACCTTAGAGACGTAGTGAAGTGCTCATCTCTCCAACTAGAGCTTTGCAATGACATTTAACTTATTTAAAGTTTCCTCTTTTTTCATAATTTTCGATGTAAATTTCGTTTCCAAACACGAAGTAAGGTACTTTTCTCTGAGTCATACAGATTAGCTTGTACGTCATAATTCAATATCCTAATTTTCCTCATTTGTCCATTTGTCAAACTATCTTCGACCTTCAGGGCAGGTAGTACCATTTAGGTTTACCGTGTTTTATAGATGCGGGCAGGCGTCTCCGCACTTCCAAGATGTGCGATTTCGAGAGGATAATGCACAACCGAAACGAGACTACTTTACCGTTATTTTTTCGCATTGAATTTATTTTATTCGTCAATTCGCTATGATTTATGCATTTTTTTTAAATTCTTGACACAAATACAATTATTAATCAGCTGTTAATAAAGCATTATCAACTAACAGAATAAGAAAGTCACAGCTAGATATAATTTGATGAGCAATCCACACAAAGTTAGGTGTTCTTTTCTCCATCAGAGCCCTCACAATGACATTTGAAGCTACCAAAAAAATAGTTCGCATTTTTTTTTAAATTCTTGAGTCAATTACATTTGTCAATTAACGATGATTAAAGTATAAGCAACCGAGAAAATAAGAAAACAACCTTTGGAAATATTTTAACAAAAATATTTTCAGATGTCGTTGTTTTATTGTATCAGTAACATAGCAATACAAATGTTATGTAGCTTTTCTTGCATTTCATTAAAATCATACAATTGGAAGTTATCGTTCATTGGGCAATCATTAATTGTCACATGAAAGTGACATAACAAGATTTCTATATCCTGTAAAATAGTTTATTGATTCAAAATTTATGCTGCAATAATTAAAACATTTTTTTTTTTTCAACAAAAACGTGTTTATTTAACAATTTGTCTGACTAAAATTGATGTATAGTCGGACTGAGAAGAGAGTTCCTTAGATGCTCTTCATGTGTTCTTGTACGCTTGCGCAGTACAGATAATTATTTATCTTTCGTTTGAATATGAAGCGGACTGTCACGATAGGTTAAGCATGTCAAGTTTAGGTTAGTAAGATTTAAAGCTAATGGAAGGAGAATCGCTGAAGTTTCATTTTGAAATCACCTTCTAGTAACGCGTGAAACGTGAGTGAGTTTAGAGAAAATTAAAACAACAAGTAGATACAATTTTTTATTTTTAATTCAACAATGGTTCGGTATACTGAAAATCAGTATCAAAAAATGTACAAATATTATGTGGATAGCAATTATAATGCTAACATGGCTGCTCGTAAGTACCATGACGACCATCCTGGAGAACATTGTCCGTGCCCGAAGACGTTTTTGTTAACATCAAATAGACTTTCTACAACAAATAGTGTCGCTCTTAATCGACGTGAAATTGGTGGACCTTCCGTAACCCGAAAATCATTAAAAAAACAAGAAATGGTGTTAGAGGAATTTCACAAAAATCCAAACAAGACAATCCGTCAAGTAGCCGAAGAGTTAAATATATCAGAGTCGACAGTTCAACGGCACCTTCAAGACGATGAACTTAAAGATATAATACAAAAAAAAAAGTAGAAAACAAACAAAGTCGTATAGAAAGTCAATCAAAGGTTCAAATGAAAAATTAGAAGGAACAATGAGTGTTAAAGAAGGTATTATTTTTGTCCTTTGCATCCAAACTATTGAATTTATGATCAAATTAATCGCACATGATAAATTATTACTGAGTAACTACAAATTCTTTGTTTAAGAGCAGACATAACCAAGTATACAAAAAAAAGCATCAATCGATATTAAGAAGATAACAATAATTTTTAGCGTTGCATCTATTATAAGAATAGCTCATAAGTTATTGTACAAGCAAATATTGAATAAAATAAACAAAATTCGACAAAAAAATATAAGTTTTATGAAATAAAAGAAAATACCTCATTCGTTAAATTTATCCACTATCATTAAGAAAAATATGCGAACTATTTTTTTAGTGGCTTTGAATGTCATCGCGGAGATCTACATAAAAATAAGTACACCTCACGACGTGTCCAAGGCCTAAAAAAATATTTTCAGAGGTTGTTTCCTCACTTTCTCGGTCACTTATATTTGAATAATCAAGAATTAACAAATATAATTTAGTTAAGGATTAATAGAAAAATGCGAAATTTTGTTTTGGTGGCTTCAAATGTCATTGCAGAGGCCTGCATGAAAATGAGTACTCCTCACGACGTGTTTAAGGCCTAAAAAAATATTTCCAGAGGTTGTTTCCTTATTTTCTTATTTGCTCATCCTTCAATAATCGATTATTAACAAATATAATTTAATCGAAAACTGGTAAAAAAATGCGAACTATTTTTTTAGTGGCATTGAATGTCATCGCGGAGGCCTAGAAGTGAAGTGAGTACTCCTCACGACGTGTTTAAGGTCTAAAAAAAGATTTCCAATCAATATATTACCATCATTAATTATTAGTTTACAAGAGTACCGAGGAGCGGCGCTTTCTGTAAATATAAAATAGATATTGAGCACCACTGAGTGGCCTCAGAGAGGGGAGACTTTAGGGTCAGATACAGCGGAATTTCTGCCGCAACTCTGCTGAAAGAATCTTCATGCAGCTTAAGAGCAGCAACTTACGGCAGTCTGATGCATAGTTGCTAACGTTAGATTCTGACACTAGACTTACATTTGAAAAGGAAACAGACGTACGTATTTCTGACTAATGTGTACACACGTAAGCATTGGCCACTAATATTTTTTTTGCAGAATCAACAAACTGGAAAAAAAGCTAAATCTTATCATTCTTTCCACGGGGAAGTTAGTTGTGTGGACCTTTCGGGTTGCTTCCAGACTACTGGAAAGCACTGATATTTTTTTATTAATTTTGATGAAAAATCTAAAAAAAATACCTGTTTGAATTTTCTAGAAATAATTTAAAAAGTAGTCTTTGTCGGTAAAAATTTACGATGAATTTTTTTCTGCAATTTATTGTAACTCAATTTCAATAAGTAGTTAATTAAAAAAAAATTTCATAAAACTTGGCCCAATTTTTGTGATGTTCTCTATTGATAGAAACTATCCGCTGATTGTTCTTAAAAATTGGGCCAAATCTTATATGCTATTAAGCAGCCAGTTTTTCTTAATTTATTAATTATTTTATTGTACATATGAGAATTATTCAGTGTTGATATAATAAACAATTGACGAATTACTGAAAGATGAGGGGACTTTATCAGAATTTAAAATTATCCCACCAAAAAAATTAATAGTTAAATAGATACTTGAAATTACGAAAATAGACTTTCAATTTACATGATATCTACACATAGAAAACGGTTGAAAGAAATTTGCTTTCAATGAATTTATTACTTATTAGTTTTAAACAGAGTCTAAAAAATACATTATGCATTTTTATTTTATCACTCATTTTTTTTGTAATAATTTATCGAATCATTTTTTATTAATCAATATTTTTTTTAAATAAGTAATGAAATCATTTATTGATATTAAAATATTGATACAAAAATTTATGGCTGTTTTAAGAATTGAATAGCATAAAAATAATTTACATTAATGAATGTATTTTTATTCGTATTATGATTATCATTTTTCTGGACTTACTTTGCAAAGTTAGTGTTAACAACATGATACTGAATTATGCTTTTAATACTTCTATCATTTTCTTACTTATGTTTATCATTAACATATAAACATCATGTACAACGATAATAATATGACACTATTGTATGCTTCAGATTATCAAAAATTTCTTGATACAATTCTTTATGATAAAGGAATTGAATTACCTCGTGTATTTATTCGAGACGTGACAGTTATAAAAGCTTTCAGTACGAAAAATAGTCTTATTGTTCATTATGAATCGGGCTTACATTTTAATTTTCTTATTTTTACCTCTTGACGCTTTCGCCGAAATTGGAGTTCTTAGATTAATAAAAGAGTAAGTTATGAAAACATCAATGAATTAATTAGTTATTTTATTAATTATTTGATTTTATAATAGTCAAAGATTTTGGGGATCACCTCTGTTAAGGCATCCTATAAATCATCTTCCGCGTTATGAATCCGTAAGTCATACTATCTTTTATTACAATGTTAATTAATTATTCTAGTTATTGTACTATATCAATAGAAATAATTAACTGTCTTTAGATAACTGATTATTTAGAAAGTATTGCATCTAATTATCGTAATATTGTATCACTAGAAGATATTGGAACTACTTTTGAAGAAAGAACAATATATGCTGTTAAAATTTCTAGTGGTGGAATAGGCAAACCAAAAATCCTAATTGATGCTGCAATGCATGGCCATGAATGGATGGCTCCAACTGTAGCTATATACGCTATACATCAATTAATAACAAATAAATCACATACATATCTTTATCAAAATGTTGACTGGTACATTATTCCTTGTTTAAATCCTGATGGGTATGAATTCACGGTTTCATCAGGTGTAAGTACAGAAAAAAATACCTGGGTTTTACAATTGAATAGAAGTTATACGTATTTTTAAAATAATTCTCCTTTTCAGAATCGTTGGTGGAGAAAAAACAGGTCAATTAATGAAGGATCATCGTGCATCGGTACCGATATAAACAGGAATTTTGATATTGGCTGGATGGGTTAGTTTATACTTACCATTATAATTCATTCATTGATAATATTTAAGAAAATTATAATTATCTGTTATAATTATAGGTAAATCAAACATAGATGATCCTTGCTCAGACTTTTATCGTGGATTCACACCTTTTTCTGAATCTGAAAGTAAGGCATTAAGAAATTTGTTCAGATCTAATAGAGGATTGATCAAAGTATATTTAACTTTACACTCATTTGGAATGGTTCGTATAAGAATTTTTTATTATCTAATAATGGTAAAAAAAGAATCACTCTTTTGTTTTTTTAACATCAGAATTTCGATTTAATTTTAGAGCTCTATTCAAGCTTAAAAAATGTGCACGTTTTCAAAATTTTTTTAACGGTTTAAGTACTTTTGAACTTTAATTTTTCAATAAATAGTAATTGAACAGGTTACTAAAAATAACTTGCTGCTATTTATGTATGATACATAAATACATTTCAGTATATTTTTCAGTACTTTTTGTATCCTTGGAGTTGGACAAAAATATCTACAAACAATTTTGATTTAGTGAGTGATGAAAATTTTATGATACTTTTATAATAAAATTTTAATTAATAATTCAAAGAATCATTCTTGATTTTTTTACTTTTATCAATGTAGCAAATCGTCGCTAATAAAGCTGCAAGGGCAATTACTAGAAGGTATAATACACGATATACTGTTGATAATGTTAGACGTATAGAAAGTAAGCGTTTATTTATTGTTATTACAATGTAAATCATTTTTTTGAAAACTTAAAACATAATTTTGTCTGTGAATTATTTCATTAGATGAAATTTGCGGTTCGAGTGTTGATTGGATGTTAGCTGTTGGAAATGGTGTAGATTTATCTTACACGTTACAATTACCTGGTCATACATATCACATGTTCAAACTGCCTCTCGAAGCAATTGGATTGGAGACTCTTGAAGCTTTTAAAGTGTTTCATTCATACATTGAAAATAAATATTTAACAAATAATGGACAAAATTGAAAAACTATTTATTTTTAAATGTTGGAGATTAACAGTAAGATAAATTTTATAAAAGTAAGATGAAAAGTTATTTGATATAATTTGTCTGGTAATTATTTTATAAAAAAACTAAAAACTATGTAAATGTGCGTTCACATGATAGTAATAAAAATAATAATTCTCTGTAAATATTTTTAAACTATAAATAAATTATTTTCAACAATATTTAATTAATATTTCTTTTACTTGTAATATCATTATGAATTGATGAGTTTTTTGATTATGTTGATTTTGAAAAACAATGGTATATCGTATTATCACATGAATAAATTGGATAACTGATGAATACAATCAATTAAAATTGTGCATATATATATAAATTTAAAACACTATATAAATGAGTAATAAAATATAAATCGTAAAATGCCTGAGCAAAAAAAATTATACTCGGCAAAATTGTTATTTTTGTTATTATATAAAATCTTAAACGTTTAACAATACTTGAATTAAGTCATTAATAGTTAAAATTTACCAATAAAATTGCTTTTAATAACGTTTTACTCTAATTATTCTGGTTTTGTAACAATATACGGATATAAAAATATCAGTTAATTTTTCATTTTAAGAGCACTTGAGTCAGTCTCAATATCATTTGAAGCTCCTTTGGAAGACTTATATATAAAAAATTGATCGCTAATATGATAAAAAATAGTTATTACTGCCTTTGTAAGGCTATTGCTTTTTAGTTGAATCAGTTGATTACCAGGGTGATGTTCAAGTGAAGCGATAGCATTCAACAATATGATTGAGCATGTATTGAAAAGCAGTAGAAGAGACTGAGCCAAATCTTTGTTTCCATAAATTGGTAGCAATTATTTGTTGGCTCATTGGACGAGTAGATTCTTGAATTTCTTCACAAATAGCTACTCCAGTTTGCCAGATTGTTGCTAAAAGTGTTGAATAATAATGATAAACACTTGAAGTAAATATACATAATACATAAGCATTGATATAACGGAAATAAATTATTCACCCAAATTATTGAGAAGTTTATTGGTATCAGGACCATCAAATTTTTGTAAATATTCAATACTGAAGACTCCATACTGTTTCAATTCTTGAAGAGATTCATAATTACAGCAACGAGCACGAGTATTTGTTACAAGATAACTTCCTGGTAAAACTTGTTGCACAATTTCTTTTAAAGCTTCTTCGACCATTCCACATCGATGTTTAGTAGTTTCATCGTTTTTATTTTTTTGCATAGGCTTGAATTAAAATGATTTTTTAAAAAAATGTTAAAAAACTATTGTTATTTAATTTTATTGTTTATAAATATTACCTCCGGTAATGCTTGAATAACATGAAGCCACATTCTAGGTGGTAGTTGACTAGCTTCAGTGATGCAAAGTATTGTGTGCGAGTTATTGTTACGTTTCTTCGTTGTTACAATATTGTCTGGAATTGTATCACTCATAATCCCTCCAGGAAATTCATCAACTAATAAAATAACTCCTGGCCCACCAAGTTGGAATTCTTCAGGATGTGATTTGACAAAAAATTCTGCAACTTGTCCACATCTTTCATAAACCTTTTTTACTACATGCTCTTTGATGTCTAAGATGAATAAAAATTTAATTCGTTACTTTTAGAAACGTTAGTTAATTGTATTGAAAATTATATAAAATAAAAAATACTATACTTAGATTGATAGCAGCAAGATCTAGAGGAATATTTTGACACCAGGCTAATATTAGTTGGAGACAGATTTTAAGATCACATTTGATACCAAAAAAGAATGATCCATCCCGAATGGATTGTTTTTTGTGGCAGTTTGGACAAATCCAGTTATATTTATCAACAATTCTAGCTCCACTCCAAGTCAGAGTTTTTCCTTCACATTCAGGTTGAGGGCATGAAAAAACGTTTCTTATAAGACTGGTGTCTTTTAGCCAACTACAAAGTTCCCCCTCATGACCATGTTGGAACATTGGTTTGACAACAACATCGAAAAACCCTCCTTGATCTCCTATTTTTTCAGCAGGAGGTTTACCATTACTGAAAAAAATAATATAAATATTTTATTTATCTCAAAGCGTATTTCTATTAATAAGTTTCTTTGATAAACTTCGAAAATTTAATACTTACATGATTGGTTTAGGTTCTTGTGCACTAATATTTGTCATTTTTAAACAATTAGTTGATTATAATTCGTAGTAAAATCAACAAAACTATAAGAATGGTGTAAATAAAATTTTTAAATGATTTACGAATTCATATAATGAAAATAAAATGACAAATGTTTAAAAAAAATTAGAGACACAAAGAAAAGGTTATCTGTCAAATATAAACAACATGGCCAATGGGTGTTTCCATTGTTCTTTTCTTTTACTTGAAGTTGGTCAAAAGTGTCGAGACAAGTAGGTGTTGTATCGATCATTCGTTGTTTATGACTAACTTCAGGTAGTTCGAACATCAAGAAACTTTGTAACTTGTGTATGTGTTATTATTTCACAGCCTCCACTTATAATAGTGAATTTGTAAATTATTAAAAATATTTTAATTTATATTTTCTTGTAAAAATATGAATAGTATACATATGAATTATAATTACTTGTGATTACTATTTTTTTTACTTTGAATTCTGTAAAAAAATGTCGTATCAAGGCTCTCCGTTTTCTGCTGTTTATGGTCCAGATGATTATGAACTTGATGAAGACAATGAAGAATATTTGGATGATGATCGATACCCTGATGATCCAGATGAAAGCGATGAAGGTTAGTATTAGATTATTTAAAATCCTAAAAATTTGTTAAACTTTGATAGATCTCTAAGTGAATTTATGATCGAATCTATAATATTCTTACATACACTTTGAAATGTTTTGAAAGTATTCTGCAATTAGTTTTAGAATTTTGTAGAATAAGTTTATTAAATTAATATCCTCGCTATTAACTATCAATTATTATTCAGTTGCTTTTATATGTACTTGCTCTATTTTAGACACTGAGGAGGCAAGTGAAACTGACATGGGAAAATCTGAAGAGTATACAGAAATAAAAGAACAGTTAGTAATATATTTTATTCGTAGATATTTTAATGTTAATACTACTCTTGTCTTGTTCTATTATTATGTTATCATATACATATCTATGCATACGTTATGTTAATTTTAGAGTTTATCAGGATAAATTAGCAAGTTTAAAGAAACAATTACAGCAACTGAAGGATGGTACGCATCCAGACTATAATCGGAAAGTGAAACGTTTAGAAGCTCAATATCATGAAAGGTATTTGTCATTTAATCCAAATATATTTAAGTTTAATAAAGTTAATCACTTCATTGATTTAGATTACGGTTAAATATTATTTACCGAGATTACCTCATGGAATGGGTAGAAAGAGACTACATTTCAGAAAAAAAAGCAGCTGTAAAAGAGTTCGAGGAAAAAAAAATTGATCTTAAGGAAAATTTGTTGACTGATATGGAAGAAAAACGAAAAATGATTGAATCTGATCGACAAACAATGGAATTAACTGGAGACTCTACGGAGGTAATAAAAAGTTATTATTTATATTTTCATGCGTAAATATTCAAAAATAAAAGAAAATTAAAACAGTTGAAAAATTTATATTTTTAACCAGGTCAAACCAGTAATGACAAGAAAATTACGTCGAAGACCAAACGATCCTGTTCCTGAAAAGGTTGAAAAGCGAAGAAAACCACCACCTGCGCAACTAAATTATTTATTGGATGAAAAAGAAATTGAGAGTGATCTCAAAGCGATTAGTAGAGGAAAAGCTTTAACTGCTGTGCGAAAGCAAGGTATGCATTGTTTTTATTAGCATGTATTTAAGTTATTAGGAAATATTGTAATTTTTTTTTCAGCGGTAATGCCGCATTACAATTCTGTAGCTATTCCGAATTCACATGTACCACCGTCTGCAGAAAACAATTTGGTTGAAACAAGAATCGAAGATGGAAAGCTATTATATGAAAGAAGGTGGTATCATAGAGGACAACCTGTTTATGTTGAAGGAATGGAACTATCTAGGTTTGGAGCTAATATTTCTGCTATAGGAACAGAAGCAGTAAGTTTGTTTTTGATAATTTATTGTTTAAAATATTCAATCGATGCATGTAAAAATTAAGTATAAAGAATGTAATTTAATATCAACAAAACAATTCTTGTAGATTTGGGTCAAAAAAGTTTCTGATGGCAGCAAAGTACGCATATATACTTCACAATTAAGTCGCGGAAAAATATCGATCAAACGTCGGGCATCATAACAGTCACAGCCACGGATCGTCCTCAGACTGGCGAGATCTCGTGATCCATCCTCCTGCGGCACATCATCGGACTTTTATCTGCGTCTACCGTCAACGTATGATGATGCTTCAACTTAACAATACTTGTCTTTTGCCACCAGTAAAACCAAACCTTTTGATGATATTGTATAGCCATAAACATCCATATAAAGTATGAAAATATTAAAAGAACCATCATTGCAAGAAGAGAGTAAGTTGTCCAACGGGCAGGTGGAAAATTATCATAGTTATTTGCTGAATAAAAGTCTGCAGCTACAATGCATACGTAGGATGAACCCATTGTCAACGGAGTGACGATCAAACAGCGAACGATATCAACACGTAAATTACGCAAGAAGAGCTGGTGTTCTGGATGCTTCAAGCATATCCAAATAAAAATAGAACGTAAAGCGCTGTAGCGAGGAGTACGTTCGATATCAAATTGATATCCACACAACTCACAACTACTTCTATTACTTTCTTCAAGCCAACGTTCCAAACAGGAAAGATGAATTGCGCCCATAGTGCCCTAAAATTTATTCAAGATTATTGTTAAAAAATGATAATTAATTGTACAAATAATCAATGAGTAAATTAAGTTTTAAAATAAATGTAAGAAAAATTTTTACAATGAATTAGCAAAATTAAAAAGATCATTTATAATAACTATACTTCTAGATAAAATTTCCTTCAGTAAATCGAAACAAATTATCAATAGATGTCATTTATTTACTTAATACATAGTTAATTTTTTAGTCGTCATTATTCAATGAATATGTAAACCCTAAACTGAAATGACTTTAAATCGACTTATTTTAATTTGTAAAAATTCATTCCGCATATATCATTAACTGGACAACTTACCTTACATTTACATGGATATATAATAGGATATCGTATTGTATTATCATAACAAATTCGACATCCACTTTCTTGGGTTGATGCATCACTAAATGACGTTGAATTACAATTTTTTATTTCATCAATTTTTATTTTTTCTGATTCTATTACTTTATTAATTAGCCAATTTAATGTACTTGCTGCTGAATTTTGTTCACATAGCATTTTATAAGTTTTATAATATTAAATATTGAAATGATATTTATTTGGAGGGTTAAATGTCAATTTTTGATATTTTTTATGAATGGAAAAAATTAAACTTGAACAATTGAAATCTTTTTATAAAAATGTTTTATAATTTAATACTATTTTATAGGTTATTCAGACGTACATTAAATTGAAATAGAATAAAAAAAGTGTATTATCAATATTTCGTCAGAATTTTGTGCATTCAGAATACTTTTGGCATACTTGAAATATTTTATTTTTACTTATTTTCTTTCTAAAGAAATTGTTTTATTTAAAAATTTCATCTTACGATATGCCAAAATTAACTTAAAAGAAATATAATTTAATCAATTCACATTATTTTAGTAATAATAGAGTTAAAATTGATAAGTTAACAGGAAAAATTATTCTGCCATCATATCGACGCTTAAACAATCTTCACCAATATTACTTGGAGATGTTTCAAGTTCACCGACTTCATTTGATTCACTGTCCAATGATGGATCATTGCTAAACATTTCAGTTGGAACAGTGGGTGGTGCCTTTTCAGGTACCAATTCCAGGTACGTTTGACGCGATTCCAAATGCCGCTCAACTTCTTCAGGAGTCATATGTCCGTCAGACATCATGGAAACCATTGACATGACATTATTCGACGTTTGAACAGTTGTTGGTGGATTATGTGGAACTTTAGGAGCCTTTGGAGTTGATTTTTTCTTTTTTGTTGTACTTAAAGGTTTCATTGTCGTTGGCGGGCCATGAGGAGTATGATTATTCATGTTTATTTCAATTTTTTTCTTTTTGGAAGTATCTAGCCGTGACACTTCATCTTCTGAAGATTCAGTTTCATCACTTTCACTGAAGGATGCATCTACTTTTTCATATTGGAGCAAACGGTCTAAAAGAAAACTTTTATCCCTGTTTACTTTCAATAGCTTCCGTTGGGTTGATCGTAAAGCTTCTTGAAAACATTCATTTTCCTAAAGAAATGATTGTAATAGTTTAGTGTGGATTGAATTATTTACACTTATTATTATATTATTAAGTTGCTTCAATTTTCTAATAAATCTTTAGAATCTTTTCAACTTACGTAAATTAAAAATTTAAGTTTTCTTTTCAAATTTCGATATTGCTCCTTGTAATTAGGAATTTCTTCCGGACTGTCTTCTTCGTCATCCTCGACTTCTGCATTGTTGTTTGCAATAGATCGACAATACCATCCTTCCAACATTGATCATCTGTATTTAGAACTGTTTGAAACTAATTTGATATAAACTTACAAAACATAAATTACAGTTAAATAAATATTAACAACTCCAAAGTAATTTTGAGGTTATTTTAAAGAGATTAAACATTTAATAGAATTCTTAAAAATTACAACATATAAATGATCTTAATAAAAATTACTCAATTAATATGTATTTTAAATGAGTATTATGATTTTATTTACTCGTTGATTCCAAAAATTCGTTATGTTTAGTGAATGTTTGTGGAGATTGATTATTATGAGCATAAATAAACTGATCGTTGGCATCCATATTACGCGTGTTTTGCACATATTACCGACTATTAATATGCGAAGTCAATAGTGTTGATAACTCATCGACTATCGATAACAATACAGTTGTTCTCTATTGTGACTTCACTTTTGCAAGAACAGTCCAAGGAGAAATAATCAGCTAAATGTTTTGCTCAGTGTTCTGATGAGGTTGTAAAATAAAACATATTTGTTGTGAAATTATTTTTTAAAGTAGGAGAGATTAAATTAAAACTTTTCCATCCACAATGGTCAGTTTAGTAAATATGTCTGACGAATCAGTAAGTAACAAATTATTTATTTTCTTTTAAAATAGCATAAATTTTTTATGGTTATGTGTTTTGAGTAACACTTATTGTTTTTAGATTCAAAACATCAATGACATTACGACTAATTTTGAAAGTTTACGTGTGGCTGCTCTGAAAAGAGCTTCAAAACTGTCGGGATCAATCAATAGTGTTACAATAGGGCCAGATTCATCGCCAGAAAAAGATAATAATTCCATTGAAAACATTGAAAATGAAATCAATAATTGTAATATCGATGTGTTAAAGAAAAATCCAGAACCTTCACAACCTCCTAAACAAAACGCATCATCCAGAAGTACTATAACATTTTCTATTAAAAAAATTCTTCTGGAAAATGAGATTCAACGAAGAGAAGAAGTGCGTAAGGCAATTGAAAAAAAGAAACAAGATATGGAAAAAACAGAAAAGGCATTACAAGAAGAGATGGCAATATTAAGAGAAATATTGGTTACAAAACGAGAGAGAGAAGAAGCTGCTGAGCTAGAACGATTAGAAGCTGAAGAAGAAAAGTTAGCTCAACAAAATGAAATCAAAAGAAAGCATGAGCAGCAATTGCACGCTCAACGGCTTCAAGAAAGGAAAGAACGATTTGAAAGAGAAGCTGAAGAACATCGAAAATTAAAAGAACTTGAAGCTGTAATTGAAAAAATGAAAAGCAAATTTAGTGGACGTTGTCGGGATATTAAACTTCTTTCTAAAATGTGTAATGATAAAAATGCTGCAAATATCATATTTAATTCTATTCTTAATACATTGAAGGAACTGAGTAATCAATTAGAATCGATATGTGAAAAAGCAAGAAAAGGCGATCTTACACCTACTGATGTAGCGATAGGCGAACAAATTCTTCAACAAACTGATAAAGTTTTTCAGTATTGCAAGACTGAAATTTCGCAAATCGATGCTCGTTATGAAGAAGCAATAGCAAAAAGGAAGCAAGAAATGGAAGCTGCAGAAGCTTATGCTCAAGCTGAAGCTGCTAAAATTCAAACACAGATTCAAATATCTGAACAAAATCAACCTGTACCTGAAAACAAATCTAATGTCGATAATGTAAATAGCATGAATGCTAGATTGCCAGAAACTCCACCAAATGAAACTACTTTACAGACAAATGAAGCTGGTGCTACAACAACTGATTCATCCTCTGTTGAAACTGTTATCGAAGAATCTGATACTTATCCTGATCATGAGTCTCTTCAAATTTATGTTAGAGCTCGTACATTTTTAGATAGTTATACAGCACTATATCATAATTTTGTTCGATCTCCTGCAACTAAACAGTTTAGGTTTGATTGCCAAAAGGCTATTAATATTCCCATCAATACTATCTCTTCGGTTAGCGGAGCACATTTGAAAGAAAAATATGAAAAGTTAAAGTTCCTTCTTGAAGGAAAAGCTTCTCCGAATGTTAATGAACACCCAGAAGGTCCAGCTTTTTGTAAAAATTTATTAGCAAAAAATATTGTGGTAAATACTTCATTGTTATACATAAATTTTTTTTTAACATAAATCGGTTAATGAAATCTTCTATTTTCAGAATCAAGGAGAAACTTTAGTTTCAAGTAAACCTGAAATGGCTTTTGGAATAGCTGCAGTGATTGCTGCTCTTTGTTGTGATTTTCCTGATTTATTAGAACTTTTATTGGCGCATTTTCGTACTATTTGTCCATATATTATTCCAGTATTTTTACCAAGAATTCAAGATCAAAGTAATGAAGATTACTATAAATCTTTGGGATATAAATATATTGATGGAAATGTAGAAAAACATGATAAATTTCTTAATCGGATGTCAGGAATTATGAGACTTTATGCTTCTATTATTGTTGCACGATTAAGAAAAAATGGACCCCAAAAACATCCACATGGTCTTAATAATGCTTGGAGATGGCTTGCAGCAACATTAAATTTCAGTAAGGAGTTTAATATTAAAAAATAATGTAATAAATTGAATAGATAATAATAACTTTATTAATTTTTTCAGTACCTAAACCAGAACATGTGGATGTTACTGCAACTCTTATTCTCGACATGTTGGAAGTTTGTGGAAGTTCTTTATGGCAAGCTTTTCCAAAACAATTTCCAAAGCTTTTAAAATTATTAATTGAACAGTATCATCCACAAGTACAAGGTCATGAGGGAATTTGTGGTGGCCCTATGACACGTCTTCAAAAATTCCTTGAAGATTGTATTAGCCAAAACTCAATCCCAGAACCAGTTGGTCAATTGCCAATGGCAGTGTGGTGAACAAGTTATGAAAAATATATTTCAATTATTTAATATTTGTCTTACGTTTACAATGTCATGCTATCTTCATAAATTTGATTACAAATTGAATGCGTAAAAAACTGTATAATAGCTAAATAATGATTTTGGATTATGATAGATAAATCACCGAGTGAAAAAATAAAGAAGATTAGAATTCAGTAGTATGGCATGCTGGTGACGACTGATTTTATGTCTTCCATGTTATAATTTTCTTTAGAATATTCAGCAAAACCCAAAATTCCATAAGAATTTAATCGTTCAATCCAATTCTTGTTCAAGTTGACCCTTAGAAGATGAGTTTTGATGTCATCGCGTTGTTTTGCTGTTGAGAATTGAAATTCAAAATTAGGTATCAGACTTTTGTTAATTTTTATTTATCTAATCCATTCAGACAAATTTTTTTTAAAAATATTTTAAAAAAAGACATAAAGTCGTCATAAAACAAATCAAGTTTCTAAGGTGTAGATAAATAGCATGAAAAGCTTGGATAAGCTTATGTTTTTCAATGTTTTAATCATAGATAAATACTAGTAGAGAAATTAACATTTATGAATGAGGGATAATCATGATAAAAGATCATTGTTCATGATTACATTCGACTGTAATGAATTAATAAAAAATGAGTAAATGAAAAATTGTATCGTTAGTAACATTGTAAGTTTCATTACGTAGCTCAGGTATCAATTACTATGTCATAAGATTTTTTTATATTAAAGCAGTAAGAAGAAAATTACATATTTTTTAAAACTAATGAATTTTGATTTCTTTTTTTGAGTAAATAATGAACTTAGTACATAAAGCTATTCAATTAATTATATATGAATTACATTGAGATCAATAATAAATAAAATGAACTTGAAACATGAAATTCATTTTGACTGAATGGATTAATTTATCTTTAATTACCTGAAAGTTTTTGATTGACCATTATCTGATAAGGTGGAAGTGGACCCAGACTATCAAGAACTAACAGCCCATTTACACCAGGCACATTGTATTTATGACAGTTAATAACGGGTGCTTCCAAAACACCTACTTCTGCTTGTTTTGCAGCAACCATGTGAAGAGCAGCTATTTGTGTATCAGCATCTACCAACCAAAGTAATGTTTAAAGTTTGTTCATTAAAAAAGTTTTTTTGATTCTCTCCTAAACATTTTCACAAAGTATAATCAATAAATTTTAAATAAAAATAAACATTTTCATATACCTAAAGTATCACCAAAAAATGAAGCACCTTCTCCTTTGGAGTTCAAATAATTGAATAAAAGTCCAGTAGCTCCAATTTTAGTTTGCCTGTCTGGTAAAGCACATCTATGGCCTCTCAAGTCGATGATATCCTATATGAAAAAATTATGATGAATAATTTACATAAAATAATTAAAAATAATAAATATTGAATGAAAATCAAATATGTGAAGATAAACCTCAATATTTTGGGATGCATCTCCAGCAATGATAACGTCTGCATAAATTCCAGGAGCTTTGTGTTTATTAAGATGATGTTCAAAAACGAGACCAACAGGTAATAAAATTCCAGTCGTCCACTCCTTGTTAACCGGTAGGATAGCTACGGTTATTTACGAATGAGGAACGTGTTTATTAAACATAGTTCGTAAAACACATACCGATGTCAACTATATCTTGAGCTACAGGTCTATCAGGTCTGGATTCGTGGATAAGAACCACAGGAGTTTTAGTAGCTTCTTCGATGATAGCAGCAAGGATTTCAAACAGAGAAACTGGTAGTGAAGGGACTAAGTGAGTGGCCAAGACAAGAGGTCGTAAATTAAACTGAAGTGATTCTTTGGAAATGGACAAACACCTTCTTCGTGGTATAAAAGCATTGTTTGCTTTATTGGAGCTCTAAAACATACAAAAGTAAAGGCTGTTAAAAAATAACTTGATAAAATTTTACAAATTAAAAATACTTTGAGAAGTATTGTGATAGATTTTTTATCAATAAACAAATAAACAACAAACGTGCAAGTCTTTTGTAGACTTATTTTACACTCAGGTGGTACATCTATCAAAATGAGAAAAAATGTTAATAGATTTTATAATTAGTTAAAAGGTTGTGCAAATTATAAATATTTAATATCAAAACATGAAAGATGACTCACAAGAGTTGGATCAAGAATTGGAATCTTCTGGGGACGCTTAACGGTCACCGGAAGCTCTGGAATGCTGGAATTTAGTGAGTCAACACACGACTTGGTCTCCATTGCTTCACCTTTCGATTTGCCAACTTTCTCGATTGAATCACCTGAGGTATCCTCTTTTATCGACGATGCAACACTGCAAGAATTTTCTGTGTCTTGATCAAGAACCTCAGGTGATTTTTCATTAAGGACCTTGGCCTCTTTATCGTCAATATCTGGATTATTTTTTGTGACAATTGATGTCATTTTGATGTAGAAATTATTTCTGTCTTGATTTCTAGAAAAATAATAGATTAATGAGATGAACAAATAGACGAGATGTTGCCTTATACAATGACAGGATAAACGTGCTACTTTTCCAGCGTGATAATCAACTCTACAACTTGTCCGTTATGTTCACGAAGTATTGCTCTTGGACTTGAGACATTCTTACCGGTTCTCCATAGTCTACTAGTAACTTGTATGCTAATCTGCATATTTATAGCATTTGTCAAAAATAACCAACAGAATTTTTTTTTATCTTGAGATTAACACTTAACAATGTTTTTTCAGATATTGATTAATAACAACGCCAAACACATATTTCCTATTAAAAATTTTTTTATTCATTCTATACACCTGCAGCTGGGGAATAAATTCTCATAGAAAACACTTCCTTCTATGATAGCTTACAGCATATTATAAAGAATAATCTCCTAGACGTATAGTACCAACACATTGTATTAAGATTCTATTCAACTCATCTCATCGGGCTTTCATTAGAGGTATGAACATTTTATATATCAAATATTTAATACATGAATATACAAATATTTCTTATACAATGCATTTATTAAATATTTATTATCATATTTTTATTTTAAAAAGTTAATTTCTCAATGATTTTTAGGTTCTATTACATGCCTATATTAAAGAAAGAAATAAACAGGTCTATTTATGCTTAGCTTTAATAAAAAAAAAAGAAGAGAAATTAGAAAATTTTTTCACCTGTGAAAAGCTTCTAAACGTAAAAACTTGGTGTCTTAACGCACTAGTCAGAAGTGATCACTGCTGTAATGCTTAACTTGTCGCTTGTTTTTCCTTTATCTTCATCCAATGTACGCGTGACGTCTGCGTGAGAGCTAGCTATCGAGTATGGCCGCAATATAATGCTTTTGGATCATCGAATTATTTATAAAATTGTTTCGAGACTAAACCGGATCGAAATACAATCTGATAATGATTTATTGATATATTGAAAAAAATGTTCAATCTCCAATAGTGATTTTATCATCTTACGATAGACCAGATTTCTTCAGCTTTTCATAAATTAAGTGAATACATCGGTATTTCATTTAATTCTGTTTTATACATAATTATAACTATTATTGATAAATTGATTATCAATGTTGTCATTGTGGAATACGAGCTTTACAAACGGACGAAAGTCCCACCGACCGGAAATAATATAAACGGTCGATGCAGACATCGCCCGGACGCATAGTTCGTACATCTTATCAATTACATTCAATGCATTTGATGCACAGTAGTTAACAAAGTGAGAATATCAATACCTTCAGATAATTCATATCTCATAATTCAACTCAGTCCATGTAAAAGTAGAGTATTTTATTCAGACAGTGTTATTAGATGTTCATCAACTTCCAGGTGTTAAAAAAAATAACTAAAAATTTTAGTTTTGTGATGAAGAGATCAAATCAGTTATCAACATTGAGTTAATACTAAAAAGATCCTCTTTACGATTACGAACACTTAAAAAAGCTGAATTTAAATTTAAATTGTTTGAAATGAAAAAAAAAATCGAATGAAAATAATGAATAAATATAAATAAATATAATAAATGTAAGTGCCGAATCATTGAATCGTAATCGTCATTTGAATATACAATTATCCATTTTTTCAGATATTATAAAAGTTGCAAAATTCCGCTTACTATACGATTCAATGCCAAAGTGATAAGAAAAAGTAATTCATCGTATTTCAGAAGAAGAAAATAAAGGATGAATTCCACGAAATTGAGGAAGTTGAGAAGCTCTTAGAAATAACACGTTTTAAATTTAAAATTTAAATGATTAAACCTGTCGCTATTTTTCAACTGCGAAATGATAACGGAATTGTTATGCTGTCTGGATAAATATAATCAATCTTTGGCAATCAAATGGAAGACAAGGATGTAAAGTTGACTATAAGGATTGTGAAGAAGCTTAGAAGCTTCTCGGGTGGCCGGTTTCGCCGGTTTCCGCGTTCCAGACCAACGCACGCCGGTTCTCGCGCATGACCGAAGAGAACGTTCGTCAGGATAACGGCCGGGGATTCCCCATGAACTTGTCGATAGGCTAGTGGTGAGAGCATAGAATTGTAAAGACTAGAGATTGTTTCATGAAAACTAGAGAGGAAATTTAATGCATAAATTACATAATGTTTTAATTGAAAAAATATTATTATGATGTTTTCTTAATATAGTATTTATTTATGAAATATTTAAGTTTTGTACGAATTCAATCAAATAATTGACATGCTAATAGAGGAAATATTGTTTAATTCATAACCGATATTCGTTAAGATAATTGATCATTCAGAACTTGAGTCGGTTACTAAACAACATTACTTTTATTGATGCATTGTTGACTTTCCAAGAAACAGTGATTAATCTATTCATCAATTCCTAGTGAATCAGACAATTATTACTATGTTTTTGATTATAACAGCTAAATATTTGATATTTCTATATTAGCAGTTAATTACTAAATAAGCTAGTAGATTTTGAAATCAAAGTAATTTTTTACCTTTGAAAGACAATTTAATTTGTTGAATTATTTTCTGTCATCAAAGAGTAAACTTTTGTTCACTGTAAATACTCATTACTCGTCAATGAATCATCGTGAAACTTTGCAAAGTAGATTTACAGGATAATAATTATTCAATCACTTTTTTATTAAACTTAATTCAAGTAAGAGGAGAAAAAATGTATTTTTCTCTGATCATATACGTCACTTAAAATATAATCAGCGACACCTTAAGAGAAATAGCCTTTTGATGATTTCTAAATGTCTTTGAGATTATTATCAAAATGAATTTCTCACTTTCTAATTAGCAATAATTTTTGAATACACTTAAAAACACTAAACATTGAAATCACTGTTTTTCTTTTTCAGTCCAAGCTGTTGATTTGTGAATCAACAGGTGTAAGGAATTTTCTGAGGTGGTCCAGAGAGAGAACCGGAACTCGCAAGTGGGTCACTGTCAAACGGCGTCCTCGAGGCATGCAATCACGTTGCGATTACGTTTATTTGTTAAGTGAAAGAAATTTTTTTAGGAAGTTACTCCGTAAAGAAAGGATGCTAGAAAAAAAGCAGAAACAATGAATTTTCATAAACAAGTAAGAGACGAGAGATGTTTAAGTTCAACTATTTGTTGAATAATTTATTATAAAGATAAATGTTTAATGAAAAAGACAAATTGAATGTTAGTTTGAACTGAGCGCGACAAGAGACCTGTAAGAACTGATGGGACTTGGAGGGGCCTGACGTGCCACTGCTGAGATTCCACAGCTCTTTCCTCCTACTCGACCACTTACGGCAGCCGGTTGCGTGGCTCAAAGAGAGAGAGGATCTCCTTCTCCGTCGGTCCTCGCGCCTCGCCCTACCGTTCATACACCTCATCATCATCATTATCATCGTCAACCGGGTTGAAGAGTGTTGGCGACTTTGATGACCATTCAATGACGTCATCAAGCATTTGTTTTTATAACTCTGAAATCAACTCGTCTCACCTCAATTCACGATTCTGAAACTATTTGCATTTTTCATGGTAAGATATTGTAGATTTATTTATCTACTTTGAACACTATTACATTAGCAATTGATCAAGTCTTGTGAATTGGTAAAAAATTCAAGTCTTTAGATTTTATCAATTTTGACAATTGAAATTTTTTTTTTTGAAATATCTGAAGTTAATTTGTCAATTGAAGCTCATAGAGATTGAAGATTATCAAAAGAGTAAAAGAATTTCTTATAAAGAACAAACCATTATTAAGTTGACGATGCAACTTTCCAAACAAATAAAAGGATAATAAAATATGACTGCTATGTTTTTTTAGGTTCTATCATCATTGTTGTTACCATTATTACTATCATCAATAACATTGAATGAAGTATATTTGTCATCTATTGGTTGACGTCATCGTTTGACGTTTTAGGAGTGTCCAGACGAGTGTCACGAGGATACGCAGCGCTCCCATTCACATCAATTTACGACTAAGAAAGAACCTGACGCAGTCTTATAATAATTAGCTTGTATGCTACCTTGTTTCACTCCTCTGCTTATGGCTTGATTCTTTACGCACGCATAGCCGAGACTCGAACTGAACATTCTCCCATTGATTCACTTACAAAGCGTCCAAAGCATGTAAAACACCGGCTTGTGGCTGAGAAAAAGAATGAAGGCGATAAAAAGAATGGAGTTGGCGTATGTGTGGGTATTAAATAGCCGATAATTATTTCTTATATCTAGTCTGCAAATCTTATGATAAGGATGACCGATAAAAATTTTTGTCCAGTTATGTATAAACTTCACTGTTTATTTAAAATTACAAGTATTTGTTTTTATTTTTTTTCATACTCATTGTTATCATTTACTATAGTAATATAATATATTATTGTTATTTCTGGAAGTTACATTTACGCAGAAATTTCAGGATTTCTTCAATTTTTATCATATAAGGAAAATTTATGAAAAGAAAAAAGAATAACTTGTGATGATTATTACAGATAGATGTTAAGAATCATGAATATATTCACTACCCACACGTTCATAAAAAACAATAATCGAGCACACAGGAAAAGAGAAGAAATGATATTGATAGATAAAAGAAATCATAGATTTACAGCGTTATATTAATCTTTGACTATTTTTTATATTTAGAAATAAGCAAAGTAATTTATTACAACTAATGACACTAGTCAATAGATCGCTATGGTTATTTTCTTACGAGAGCATGCATGTTATATTGATAATTTCATTTTTCCTAAAATTGATAATAATTTTGATTAAAAATATTAATCTTACAATTAGTTAAGAAAATTCATGCAACTAAATTATTAAGTAAAATGTATCCATTCCACAGAATTAATATTTAGAGTCTGTTAAAAAATTAGTTACTTCATTTTACATGTATTACTAATCCATCATAAAAATATAATATTTAAATTATTTTTTTGTTTTTAATTCGATCATGATTATGACTTAAATTAGTGCGAATAAATATAAATGTTTAACTCACTGAAGATTTCTTCGTCACGGATTTTTAATTGCTGCCTCGTTTAACTTAATAACTTAATAAATAAACTTTCTTATGGCTAGTATCATAAATTATATTTATATTGATTATTATAAATTTTTATTTAAAAAAATCTATATTGAATTCAATGCTAATTTTTTATTTTATAAACGAAGAAAATTTTTCTTCATGTTTTCTTTTGTCAAACAAATTTCAATTGTTAATATTTTTATTCATAAAAATCATGACAAAAGTAAGAAGAATTATGTTACACTAATTTAAATTGAAAAGCATATATAGGAATTACAATCTATTACGAATTTTTAATGTTAAATAAAATTAAGTTTAGAAATTTGAAACTAAAATCCATGAAACAATTTAATAAATATCAAGTATAGACTCAAATTGAAACATTTTTTACATAATAACATATAAATCTATATATAATTGTTAGAAAAATATTGTTGACACGAATCATTGGTCTCCGCAAAATCGTACTAGAATTCAATCCATAAGAATTAACAAGGTTGAAGGTGAACCAGTTTTTCTATTCTTTACCGTTCTGTTTTATCTTATTTATTAATATATCGCGTTGATAGGAGGGTTTTATTCTGATCGACAGGATTCCGCCCGCGTCCCGAGCCTGCAGCCTTGACCGAGACTGAATCCGGATGAAGTGGACATAACTGCGTTCCATCGTGCGTGAGCTCATTTTCTTTTCTCTTCCTCTTCATGTATACCTTCATTCTTCACTTTTGCATTCTTGCATTGGCTCCGAGTTATTTAGGATTATTCAACACCAGAAAATTATGCACTTGGAAAAGAATTACCGAAGAATAAGAAGAAGGAATTTTATTCATCAGGTAATTAATTCACTTCCGTTGAAGAAATTAGCGGTGATGAAGTTTATTATTCGTTGAAGGAAGTTTAAGAGTTCTAAGAAATTATGTTTTTTAGACACTGAAGTTGTTGTTATTATTATCACCAGTGTCTTCATCTTCATCATTGATATTATCATGACTATTGGAAACGGCATCAGCAACAGAAGGAGAACAAGAAGAAGGTAAACATTCCAGTGTATTTACCAGGTGGTAGTACGTCGGCTCGTCGCTTCGCGACGGTTAACCTGGCCCAGAAAGTAAGCCGGAACTGCTGTAGGAATCAATGACCTTGGCACGAGTAGATACCCGCTACCCGGTGAACACCACGAGAACTGCGTTCACGTCTCTTTACTTCTCTCCCCAGTTGGCTCTCGGGAAATTCCGTAAGGCTGACGATTTAAACCTGCCACGCGCACACCCGCCGCGAGGTCGTTTGCCTGCTCTAAGAACTCATATGACCATTTCTCTATTTTATTTATTCGCTTATTTATTTATACACCATCTTTTAAAAACATTTGATAATAATACTAATTCATAAATAACATTGTATAATTTTTTCTAAGTATTTAATCCTGATTCTGATGCTAAATTTTTTTACTTCAGTAATTATTATCAGGTCTAACATCTTTTAGTGTTTTAAATATCATTCAACTACAAATTATCATTTTAATAATAGTGCTAATTCGTTTAAATTACTCTGTTTGTGTTTCTTTTTATGCTATTATTTTTTATTAAATTTCAACGACAATATTCTATATCCTAGTGGAGAACAATAATTGTTAACATGACTACATATTTGAAAAGCTAGAGAGAACTTTTTTGAAGTATTACCGAAGTTTTCTTTCTATTTTTAATCTCTGCTAATTATTATAATGTTTAATTTCTGTTGAAGTAAATGGACTGTAAAATATTTTATATTGTTATTACATATTCTATAATATTAAAAAAGTGAAAATGACATAGAAAGTTGAAATGGGTACTTTGCGAGTTTGAGAAGAGTATCAAGTAATGCTACAGGTATTCAGATCGGAATGTCCGATTCTGAATTTTACGTTTAACTCATTGGTCAACGACGCGACTCTCATTTTATACTCGTTGATTTCACTACAGTGGCCGGATACGGGCGATCTTATATTAGAACGCATGAAACTTATGTGCCCGTATGGAATTTTAAAATGACACCAGCATTCTTTTACCAATGGACTTTTACCTTTATATGTTAGATAACATAACTCCAGATCTTTCTACATGTCATTTTCTGCAATAAAATTGCTATGTGAAAGTCTCACTTCAAATAAAATTATCGTTGATTCAACGACTAGAGTGATTGTGATAGATTGGATAGTGACAGTCTGATAGATTCGTTTTTACTCTCATATTTCAATTTTCGTGATATTATTGTATTGACTTTCACTGAATTAATGAATAAAAATGTTATTGTTTTTATATGTCTGGCGAAAACAATCTAATTGACTAATTAAAAATAATTTGTTAAGTATCGTTTGCACAAAAAAATCAAAACTGACAATTTAAACTTTGTTTTAAATTTCTTCGTTTACCGCTCTAGAGGCGCTGTAGTACTTAAAGTCATGTGATACGACAGCACGTGGATGATCGTATACGTATACTTATAAGTGGTGTTATTTTAATGAAAACGTATAAATAAATTTAATTTAATCAACAACATTACATTTTTTGTATAAAACAGTGATTACGTCTTAAAACATATACTTTTTATGTTTTATTATAAGATTAACCTTCATATATCGAAGCTCAACTGATTGAGTAAAAATGAAAACTTGCTGTATTTGCAAAGAGGTTAACTCGAATTATAAATGTCCAACTTGCAAAGAACCTTAGTAAGTGTAATAATTAATCGTAAGAATATTAATTTGTTTTTAATAAAATTTTAATTATATTAATGTTTTTATTTTAGTTGTTCGCTGGTTTGTTGTAAATTACATAAAGAGATTGGCTGCGTTATACACGTTCAAGAACCAGTTGAGCAGCCTAAAGAAAAGCCAGAATGTAATTTTCCTACAGAAGATACAGTTCCAATTGAAAAATTGGAACTTTTACGTTACAATGACGAGGTCAAGGAGTGTCTAAAAAATCCTCACGTCCGTGATATTGCACGAGCTATTATCAGTGATCCAGATCCGAGTAAATTAATTGCTTTAGCTATGACTGAACCAATATTTGTTGAACTAGCAGATGCATGTTTAAAGGTTGTTGAACCTTCAAATGATAACGAATCGTGTTGATATTGACATTGATTATAACTTGTATTTTATTATGAATATTATTTTTAAAAAAACTTTATTTTTAATATTGATACTATATAATTGTCTACAAAATGGATAAAACTACAATGTGAAAAATAATATTTGTTGGACATTTTTCATCAGAATGGCGGAAATATATTTTTATTCATAAACTATTACATATTGAATATTGTAAACATGCAACTAGGAGTATGACTTGAAATGTAATACTCAAGATCGTCAGGTGGATTTTGTTGATCAATTTCAAATGCTAAGATGTGGTACCTCTTTCTCACCAGATGAGCAGCCATTTTTGGTGCTCTATTTCTTGTAAATATTCCTTTTCTATTACCTCCTGCTCTTTTAGGTGCTGAAATTATTCATGTCTTGAAGTAATAATTTTTTCATTTTGTTAATTAGACTTTTTAAACGTCTAAATATTTACATGGAGGTGTTTGAAAGTCTGCAAAGTTCCAAATCAATTCTCCAATGAACCAATTGTAATTATTACGAAGATAATCAAAAGCTTTAAAATGTTGGGAAAGCAAAGCAGTTTGATATTCTTCACTCCAAAGATATTCAGGTAACTAAAATGTTTTTATTTAAAATTTATAAATTTATGTTCATTTATGTACATACCTCATGAAAGCCAGCTATTGCATCTGCTCCATATTCGCTTATGATGATAGGCTTTTCAAATTTAGTATACCAAGCTTTGGCTTCATCTATTACTTGATTTGTTATCATATTTAATTCACCAGTATTGTCATACCACGCATTGTATTTATTGAAGCAAATAATATCTAAGAATTGGCCGATTGAATTTTTTTCTGGACCTTTTGAAACAACAGCAGTAACTGGTCGTGTCGAATCAAGGGTCTTTGTGTGTCTAGCAATTTCTTTGAAATATAATGTAGATTTTGGTTTCCATATTCGTGGCTCATTTGCGATCGACCACATGATAACAGAAGGTCGGTTCTTATCTCTGCGAATGAGTTGTGAAATTGATGATTTATGCAATGCTAGAAGGGTTGGGTTAAAGTTTTCAGTATCAACGGAGGGACATTCATCAATGATGAGAAATCCTTGTCTGTCTGCCATGTCCATAACTTCATCACTGTATGGGTAATGACTAGTTCGGTAAGCATTAGCTCCCACCCACTTCAGTAACTCATAATCTCTTGTCATTGTAACTAAATCCAATCCCCGTCCTCTCAGTACAGAATCTTCATGACGACCAAACCCTCTCATATATACAGGCTTATTATTAAGTAATAGACTTGTATTAGTCCATTTTAGTGTTCTAATTCCAACTGGAAGCCGGTAAATGTCAGATATTGATAAGTTGTTGACAGATATTGAGACTTCTAGTGTATACATGTAAGCAGGTCGACTACTCATTCCTCTAGGCCACCAAAGTTTAGCGTTAGGTACTTTTATAGTTCCGGAAAATCCATGAACTGAATTTTCAGTTACTAATTTTCCACTTTCTTCACGAAGAATTACTGAACAATCTACAAGCTCTTCATCATCATATCCTGCAACTTGTATCATATACTTTACAATTCCTGTATCTCCTGAAGTTGACGTTTTTATTGTGATATCTTCAATATAAACTTTGGGTTTTGTGTGAAGTAACACTGGTCTACAAAATAAAGTATATCATTTTTGTCATCTTTAAAACAATTGTTTCCGTTTTTAACTATATCTAATTTTCACCTATGAATTCCAGCATAATTGAAGAAATCAAATATATGAGATTGGACCCAAGCAGTGCCATTATCTACATGAGCTTCAGAAAGTTTGCCTTGAGGAACACTCGTTTCGGAAAGAATATTATCTACTGTGACAATTATGCGATTTTTCCTGTTAAATTTTAAGAACTGAGATATTTCCGCTTCAAAGGGAAGATGTCCCATTTCATGGTCCATCACTTTCTGGTTGTTTATCCACTATTAATTTATTGAATTAAAAATTCAATTCCTTACAAAAATAATTTATAGGAAATAAATGATAGTAAATAAATTAATTACCACAGATGCATAATAATTAACTGAGCCAAATCGAATGAATATTCTACTTTTCGTCCAAGTATACGGAACATAAAAGTTTCTGGCATACCATACTGTACCAACATGATCTTTTATTTCTGCTGATGTCGTAATGTCATTATAAGACGATGGAACTGGCATTTGCATCTCTATTTCCCATGAAGTAAAGTAATAATTATATTTTAACATTATTTGAAATTAAGTTTGTTTAATATACCTGCTTTTGTATTCCAGAAGTTTTTTTCAATCCATTCTTGAATGATTGTACCATTTTTGATTGTATTGATACTATTTCGTATGATACCAAAGTCCCAGAGTCCATCTAAAGATTTTACCTGATGTAGAAAAGTATTTTAAACATTTTTTAAATTTTACTATCATTAATTTTCAAAACAATTCATTCTTACCTCTCGATACATATTTTCTTGAGGATATAATAGCCCAGGTAAGCTTTTAATTTCTTCAGATTTGACATTTGATGAAATTTTTGATAAAGTTATAAGGAATATAAAAAACAGTTGTAACGACATTGTGTATTTAAAAAATATGTTTAAATTATTTTACAAATTGAATATTCTGTGTGTAGTATAGTGTTTTATACTAAAAGTGATGTAGTACAAAGATTTTTAAGACGTACTCAAGTGTAGAATTTTCGATTATCAAACATTCAATACAGTGTTAATGGTGCATTTAATGGACTCTAAACAAAAACCGTAAGATTATTAGAGAATTATGTACTGATAGAAATAACAAAGTTATGAAATAAAAATTATCATATCAGTATTGTTTTCAGTAAGGTTATTTAATAAATGTTGAAATTAGCTAACAAAAATTCTTTATTTAAGATCATTAACTTATCTACAAAAGTCAAAAACTTGAATTTTATACATGTGTCGAGTTTGATTATGATTAATGATCTTTAAACAATAAATTTTAATGTGTCCACAAATTTATTTTATAGAACAATATTTAAGATTAATAAAATGAGCATGAATTTATTAATGTTTCATTGAGTGTGTGGTAATGTATCATGTTCTATCATGAATAAAACTTTGATTTTTGTTATATTAAAAATTATGATTTACTGTATTTGAGTTTTTAAAAGCTTTCTACATTGAAAATTATAAAAAACTTATTTTTTATCAAGTAGTGACATACTATACGACTTAAAGTTATTTTTGTTCAGAATGTCTTACGTATTTTGTTCACTCGCAAATATCATTTTTTTTCAATTTCAGTGTAAAAAAACAAATGGAAATTTAATAAATATTATCTATGAATAGAAATATTTGAAATGTAGTACTCTATATCTTCAGGTGGTTGTTCTCCATCGATTTCAAATCCTAAAGCATGATATCGTTTTCTAACATGATGAGCTGCCATTTTTGGTTCTCTGGTTCTTGTAAATATTCCTTTTTTATTCCCTCCTACTCTAGTATATGCTAAAAGGCGCAAAATTAACTTATTAACTCTATTTGATTTATTATTTACTATAGTTTGTTTAATTCTGGCCAACTTACTTTGGGCTGTGCGAAAATCTGCAAAGTTCCAAATAAATTCTCCAATGAACCAACCCTGTTCTCGGAGATCATCAAATGCAAGAAAGTGTTTTGAAAGTGTAGCTAATTGGTATTCTTCACTCCAAACATATTCAGGAAGCTGAATAATTTCATGATAAATATTACACGGTAAGGTAAAAATAATTGAATTAGTAAACTAATATATTAAATAGTAGTAAAAAGATTTAACACCGATTGAGAAGACGGTATTTAATTATAATAAAATTTAATCTCTTATGATAAACTGTTTCTACTTTTTATCAATTTCGAATGAATAACCGTCATTTTGTCTTTATCATTTCTTTGAAAATTATTACCGACATTATCGAACTTCCAGTAAGCGTTTTAAAAATTTTAACTCTTACAATTACTGCAAACAAATTATTTCTCATAATGAAGATTAATTATGCAAAGAAGTTACAACTTGAGATAAAAATATTCGATGCAGTTTAGAAATATCAGAGGAAATTTATATTTTTATCTGCAATAAACCAAATAGTATGTTATTTGAATCTGCTCATCTGCTGTATTTATTAGGAATCATTTATAATATTAACTCGAACGAAAAGAGGATTAGTTGGAATCCGTTCATGAGTGAGTTTTATGCTCTTTAAATATAAAAATATACCGGAAGTATGATTGCGTTATTAATATTACAATTATTACTCAATTTTTATTAAATAGATGGATGTATGGAATGATAATGTTTTCATGAAAAATAAATTTTTGTGAAAATCGAATTGATGCTTACTTCGTGTAAACCAGGCATGGTATCAGCTCCGTATTCAGACATGAGAACTGGTTTATTGTGTTTAGCGAACCATGCTTCAGCCTCGCTTTTGACATTCTCCGTAATCATGTTTAATCTGCCTGTATTGTGATACCATGCATTGTATCTGTTGAAACTAATGATATCTAAGTACTGTCCTGCTTTATCTTCAGTAACTCCTCGTGCTAAGGCTGCTGTAATTGGTCTTGTAGGATCAAGGGTCTTTGTGTGTCTAGCAATTTCTTTAAAGTACTCGTCAGCATCTGGCAATTGTGTCCTTGGCTCATTTGCGATCGACCACATGATAACAGAAGGTCGGTTCTTATCTCTGCGAATGAGTTGTGAAATTGATGATTTATGCAATGCTAGAAGGGTTGGGTTAAAGTTTTCAGTATCAACGGAGGGACATTCATCAATGATGAGAAATCCTTGTCTGTCTGCCATGTCCATAACTTCATCACTGTATGGGTAATGACTAGTTCGGTAAGCATTAGCTCCCACCCACTTCAGTAACTCATAATCTCTTGTCATTGTAACTAAATCCAATCCCCGTCCTCTCAGTACAGAATCTTCATGACGACCAAACCCTCTCATATATACAGGCTTATTATTAAGTAATAGACTTGTATTAGTCCATTTTAGTGTTCTAATTCCAACTGGAAGCCGGTAAATGTCAGATATTGATAAGTTGTTGACAGATATTGAGACTTCTAGTGTATACATGTAAGCAGGTCGACTACTCATTCCTCTAGGCCACCAAAGTTTAGCGTTAGGTACTTTTATAGTTCCGGAAAATCCATGAACTGAATTTTCAGTTACTAATTTTCCACTTTCTTCACGAAGAATTACTGAACAATCTACAAGCTCTTCATCATCATATCCTGCAACTTGTATCATATACTTTACAATTCCTGTATCTCCTGAAGTTGACGTTTTTATTGTGATATCTTCAATATAAACTTTGGGTTTTGTGTGAAGTAACACTGGTCTACAAAATAAAGTATATCATTTTTGTCATCTTTAAAACAATTGTTTCCGTTTTTAACTATATCTAATTTTCACCTATGAATTCCAGCATAATTGAAAAAGTCAAATGTGTAAGATTGGATCCAGGAAGTGCCATTATCTACATGAACTTCAGAAAGTTTGCCTTGAGGTACGCTTGTTTGGAGGAGTGTGTTATCTACAGCAACAGTGATGCGGTTCTTGCTGCCAAATATCAGATACTGAGATATCTCTGCTTCAAATGGGAGATGTCCCATTTCGTGGTTCATTACCATTATGCCGTTCACCCACTGTGAATGTATTGGATTACGGATAAGAACAGATGTATATAAAGAGAAATGAATAATGTAAAGGACAAAGGAAGTAATTACCACTTGAGCGAGATAATTAACGGAACCAAATCTAACGAAGACTCGTTGTTCGGTCCAAGAGAGTGGAACGAAAAAATTCTTCTCATACCAGACTGCTCCAACATGATCTCTTAGTTTTGCTGATGTCGTAATGTCATTATAAGACGATGGCACTGGCATTTGCATTACATCCACTGACTGAAAAAGTAGTTATCTAATTAAATAATTGTTAACTACATTTTATATCTCAAAATACCTTCGACAATTCATCAGCGAGCCAATTATCTTGTTGACTCTTTCCTAGATCATCCGGAGTGATACTAAAATCCCAAAGTCCATCTAATGACTTTACCTAGTAGAAAAAAAATTCAAATACTTTTCTTGTTTTTCTTTGGAAAAAAATTAACTTTCTTATTTCGTTAAACCTCTCTTGATTCACTTTCTCGGGGATAAAGAAGTCCTGGCAGTGGTGGAAGTTCTTCAACTGTTGATGTTTCCATTTCAAATAAAGTTTCAGTGTACGGAATCTCCACATCAGCGTAACTTTGAGTTATAACTAGTGTCACAATCGTTATGAATAATTCCATCGTCGTTAGTGACCTTGTCAATACACGATTATTATTATTATGTTTGGTGAAATAGCTATACTGGACAGTAAAAATTATATGACGATTGAACGTGTGATAATATGAGTAATGTTAGGAGTAAATCTGATATATAAGTAAAAATAAATATTCGAAACAATTAAAAGGTATTAAATATTTTTATTTTAAATTTATGTGATTCGAAATTATGTAATTTACCACATTGATAAAATTGACGAACGATTAACGTATATAACAGGTGAAAATGATTAACAATACTGATCGTTATAATCTGGCTGGATACTAAGTAAACTATGATAAAAGTTTTTAGATTATATATATAGATCACGTTGATGAAAAAAAGTAAACAGTGTTAGTGAACTGAAAATAAGCTTAAGAAAAGTAAGAATTAAGTATTTAACTGATTGAATTAAATAAGAAGAGAAATTCAAAAAAATTTAGTTTCGTCAACGATATTTGATATCTTTCTACATATATTTCCTGTTGTGCAGATTAGATAGAGTTTAATTTATTTCTATAGTATAAACTGATATCCCCAATGATATGTGTTTGAAAACGTGAGATATATGTATATATATATATACATACATATAAATATAAATTAGCCAAATTAGATAGTGTTGTTAATAAAATTATTTTATCAAATATTAAATTTAATGATAGATTTGGTGGCGTAATATAGATTAAACGTAAATCTGATTGAATTTTGAAAGAAATTGTTTAGTTAAATGATTAATTATTTTTCGTAGTTTTTCAAACTTTTTCGCAAACTGAAGAAATATTACTGTACTTATTTGAACAAAAATAATTGTGTAAATTTTTTTACTGTATTCAAATATGGAAATCACTTAAAATTGAATCCTTTTAAAGTAATGTAATAGAAAGTAAGATAAATAATTTATTTCGACTCAACGTAAAATATTTTTTTGGTATGTTGTTTTATAATTGAAACATTTCTAAAAAAGGTCAAGTAGTCATTTCGCTAATTACGAAGAAAATAATGAAAGAGGAATAAAACCACATAGGTTGATATCTCTGGTTGTTTTATACCCAATGGTACTCTATTAAAACTCAAGTAGCACAAGAAGAAAATACCACATGTGGGAAGCAAGAGAGTTTTCGCGGGTTACAGAATCCATTAGAGACATTGTTCTTGGATGGAAGCCAACCGATTTCCCAACAGTTGATTTTAGTATCATGAACGTATATTCAGAGATTGGAGTATGTGTCCTGAATTTATTGAATTATAAAAAAGAATATCGTTAGAATTGGGTTTATTGCTGATATCAATTAAAGTTTATTCCATTTCCTTTTTTAATCAACTTTTTATGTATGACTCTTAAAAGACATTCAATTATTATCTGACAAAAAGTAAAAAACATTAATAATATAATATTATAAAATAATCAATTTAATTAACAGTTGCTTACATTTTTACAGAAGCTCCAGTTGTCAGTTATTCTTGAAAGATTGATGAGTAAACTTGGGGTTGCTTACATGTCGATCTTGTTTCGTCGAATGTACTTGAGTAAAACGGTGGTACTTTAATATAAGTAGATTAACTTGTTAATGTACACTGTGATTTAAACTAACCAAATGTCAACGAACAAACTATTTGTATTTCACCCTTTGAAGAGACACTTGGATAATTCCACTGGCTTAGATGTGTACTCATCGAGGGACTTTGCACGACTAGATGATCATCAGACGTGTTACCTATTCTATTCGTTCGTATACCAATCTCTCACAACTCTCTATCTATCTACTCTTCTAACTAACATCATAGTTCATATTTCTGTCCAGGTCATTCGTACATTCACTAGCTGAGTGGATGCCAACATAAACATACGGGCCAAAGCAATTTACTAGGTTCCACCATTTAATCAGATTGTTGGCCTATTTGATTCATCCGTCAACGACGATTTATCGTGCCATTGACTTTTCTCTTGTGTTGATGCCATACTGCCAGAGCTTTTGATTTATTTCTGCACTAAAGATGTTCATTGCATGTCTGCATCATTTTCTTGATGAAAATAGATTGCAAGACTTGTCAAGCACGTGGTAAATTACAAACTATGAATGAACAGACTGTTATCCTTCAGATTTTTAATATTACTCAACAATTCGTTTGATAGTTTACTATTTTCAATATTTCATTTGTTAGTCTAAAGTTCAGTTAAAAGGTAAAAAAAAGAAAGCTTTTTTGAGAATTAAATAAATCGTAAGAAATTATTTTATCCGTTAAATGGGACTAAACGTATTCTATGGACTGTTAAGCAATTTTACTTGAAGTTTGCTATTAAATATAATCAGTCGGTAATTTGTATTTATTATTATTTAATTCAATCAATGAATTCATTTTTAGACTTCCGTCATTAGAATTATAGTTCAGTGATTCGAGGAAATTCATGAACTGATAGATCGCGTAATTGTATGATTGTAAATTTGACATTAGACATAGACAGAGAATACTCTGAAAAGGATTTACGGTTCGAAAGCTATCAATAGTTGATCTAACCAAAGTGTTGGAGTGTTTCAAAGCATATCAACCAGTGTAGTATGAAGGAAAAGCCGGATAGACTTATCACTAGTCGATTTGTATTATCGATTCCATTTACTCATCACCAAATCGATATGAATAAAAAGTTTTTTTGCAGTAAAAATTTCTGGGGGTGATTATTATAATTATTATACGTACTGTAAAGTGGCGCCAAAACTCGATGATACTAGTCTGCGGCTTGGAAAAAAGTTTGCTCATCAGCTAAAGTAGTATTCTGCATTACGTAATTATTTATTAGAGTAAACGAAGAAATTTATTTGGTTTGGAAAGTACGATAATAATTCAGCTAGTTTAAGTGGATATCATAAAGGTTATTGGTTAATTGGAAGGCGATTGACCCTCGTCAGCAAACTAGGATATACACTGGGATGTTGCTACCCTTTCCATAGCAATCAGACACTTCCGGTTTGTCACGACATGATGCCTCACTGAATCATTTTGATACTTCTATATCAAATTTTTTATGTCTTTGTCTGTGGATGCATTTCAATCATTATTTTTTTTATTTTTCTTCAAAACAATTAATGACTCAAACTTTCAGCAAGATTGGAGATAACTCGGATGTGGAAAAAAATGATAATCATCATTGAAACTTTCTTGAGTACATTTAGAAATTCTCTAGACTGTGATCTCTCTTAAATTGATTTGAAAATATTTCTTCCATTTCATCAAACTTTTTATTCCATAGCTCTATTAAAAGTATGATCTCCAAAAAGCTTTTAATATTCTTTTCATCTGAATTCTTGACGTCAAAATTATACCGAATTAAAGAGGACATCGTTTAAAGGATATGTTTTATGAAGTAAGTATTGAACAATGTTCTGCTTTATTATAAATGATTTAATTAGTGTTAAACATTAAAATCTATTTTATTTTTTAGGACGACATTTCCGGTATGCGATCGTCGAAGATCTAGATAGCATACTTTCTGCTATTTTTCATGACTATTGTAATACTCACTGAAATTCATCAAAGGAAAATCTGCTAATATAGATGTAAATGTTGGATTCTAGATACTTGGATAAAAAAGGATATTGTGTAATTCATGTTGATCTACTTCTATGAATAGGGTTTTTGAGTACTCTAGACAGAAACAAGCCAATGTCGCTTAGCATCCGGACATCGAGACTTCCGGTAAACGGCGCCCACTGATTCTTTGGCAGGATGAATCCATCCTGGGTTATCATGATTGCTCGAATGTACTTTTATCTTGAGAGGGAAGCGGCTGGTCATTGGCCTAGAATAAAACTTGAATGCGGTTTAGCTGTTCAATACACATATTTTTATTTTATTCAAATGAAAATATATATTTTCTTAAATTAATTTGGAAAAATTTTAAAAAAGCCTTACCTGTTGAATTAGTTTTTATGAATTCTTTACAAAAATATAGTAAAGTATACATATATATATTTATGTATAAATATAACTCATTATCAATAGAGAAAAGAACTGATACAACGAATTTAAATTTCAGAAGCAGCTTTTATGACGGTATTAAACAAGTTGAATAAATTTTTAATAGTTTATACTTTAAAAATATCACCCTACATGAATTATTGTACCTTAATTTGTAAAAAGTGAAATATGCTAATTTCAACATAATGATCAAAGCTTTTCTATTAAAGTTTTTTAATAAACTAAAAAAGTTAATGCTCAACCGCGTTATATATTGCATCTAAAAGAGCACTATAACTTGTAAATTCTTGAAAAAGGTATGTAGTTAGGAGCTCATAGCACCCGTAGAGATCTACGTGGGTGGTCGTTGTAGTCATGAATGACCCTGGCTATTTTCTGAGAATATATTAATTCTTTTATGACCCTAAAAAACTTATTATAGAGTTTATAAAGTCGGAGAATAGCGAAAGTGCTTCATTTTAGAATTGGGCGGTAAATCGAGTTACCAAAGCAATTAGCTGAAAGTAATACGTAAGGTATATCGAACACTTAAAGGACCACTTTATTTAGCTTAAAGAACCAACGTGTTTCAAGATCTTTGAAGATTATGGCAAACCATTTGGAAGATAGATTTAGCGGATTTTGGAGAATCAAAGCCAGATGGTTGGATTCTTAAAGGACTCGATTACTAAGACGTCTTGGGTCTATGCGTCTTTCGTATTTTCTTGATGTGAGTTTAGGTAGTAAGAAAAGATAGAAATACATTGAAAGATATTGCTGAAAAAGTAAGTCAATATTTTTTTTCAAAGTCAAGGGATGTTAAAAATAATTTTTTTACATAATAAAAAATCAATTTTCTCATAAATTATTATATTAGCATCAACTTAGTATTATAAAAATATAGATTTGTTATTTCATCTATTATAGTCTTAAATATGTAACATTTGGTTTTTTATACATATAATAATTTTAACAAGGTCAGACATAATTTATCATTACAATTTTTCAAATTTTTTATGTAATATAACTCTATATTCTATTTTTTGTTTTGTCAATTATAAAAAAAATGTTTAAAATAAAAGGCTGAAATTTTTAATGTTTATTCAAATCAGTTTGATTAATAATTGATAGAGGGACAGCACCAATTAATCCGCCATGTTGATTTTATGTGCAATGAATACGGTGACCGACTCGATCAAATTCCGCTTCGGTAAAATTAATTTTCTAACAAAATAATGTCAACTATTATTCAAAATTTGAAATTAACTTTATTCCAATAATAATAATCATTCAAAAGAAATAATAATTTTTATTTGTTTTGTCTTTTTTATAGTTGAAATTGTAAAGTTAGAGAATACTGGTTAGACAATGGAAAAGCGATGTTTGTGATGCCATTCTAGATGATGTTTACGAGAAAAAGGAAAAGAAAAGATGTAATAATGTATCAAAAAGTTTGTTTGAATAAAATTAAAATTCAGGAATTCCGGTTAGTAAGAAAATAAATCTTTCGTTTTGCATGAAAAGCAAGTTAATTGTTTTTGTACTATTCAAGTGACCGAGACATGAAAAATTAGTATAATAATTTTTACATCAACACTGATATCAAAGTAAAAGAGTTATAATTGGACGTTGTGCTGTAAATGTATTTCATTGAAATAATTGAGCTATTAGCATGATTTGTTTCAGTTATGTCACTATTTTATTTAATTTCAGTTGATAAAAATTGGGAAGTTAGTTTATTCCGATAAATTTGGTCATTTGTTTAACGTATTTGAAGTTTTAGGTTAAGTGGACTATAATAAATTTTAAGTTCGTTCATTAGTTTCCAACATTTGATATGTTTCTATGGATAAATAGGTAAAATATTAAGCTATGAAAATTCGAAGTTTGTTCGAAAAATGAATATATGTTAAAAAAATATTGCGAGCCTATTTTAACGAAGTATAAAATTGTTGCGTGTTTGCTATTTTCATGATAAGATTGCATGATTCTTAGCTCAATTCTACCCTCAAATAAATCTAATACAAAATCAAATTATGTCTCAGGGAAAAAATGGTAAAGGAGAATGTGCCGAAATATTCGTTTGGCGACGCATAAGTGAGAAGAATACTCGTGAATGCAAGAAAGAGAGTAAGAAGGCGTGCTCCTGACCCCTGATGAACATGTGTATATCTGTCGTGTGGGTGGGTTTGGTAGAGAGTGAGTCGTGCCATCCGGTGGAGAATAAAATAAAATTATAGAAGTGAGTACGAGCAAGAGAATGATAAAAGAAACACGTTGCGTGGTTCTCAAAAGGGTCGCAGTCTAGAAGAAGAGAGGGAGTAACTTCTGTTGGTTTTCAGGGCAATGCATGGAGGAGGAAGTAAGAGAGTTGATATAGACGCTACTGAAGCAGATGGAGAAGGAGCGACTGTGTCTGTGCTGAAGTGAGTTGGGGCGAGGGTCGAGCATGAGACTTGGAGAGAGAAGAACGAAGGGAGAGCCGAACCCAAGTGAAGTGAGCACGACAGTCGCGCGACACGCGGCGCACCGTACGCACGGGTTTCGCGTTGCGTGTGTTTACCTTTTCCTCACGCTCGCTGGCCCTTAGAACAACAAGACAGGCCTCGGAGAAACCGAAGAAATTACGTAGTCCTTTGAAGATACATTTTGACAGCTGTTATCTGGAGTACCATCAGCTATTTGAGTTTATTTTCTACCAATGGACATTCATGGTTAGTTTATATACTAAGTTTTATTTAATAATAATTCATGAAAGCTAAGGATCACACAAATCAAGTATTACTACAGTTTCAACACTCAAAATTTGAGTAACGCTCCAAGAAGCTTTAAAGCATGACATGATGGAATTAATTTGCTGGATATTGAAGCAGTAACGAGATAGAAGGAGTGAAATAGGATTGAACAGCGAGAAAGAAATAGAGAGAGAAAGAGGGAGAGAGAGATTGCACTGCGCAAAGTGCAGAGTGAAAAGTGGCGAGTCTTTCTTCATCTTGAAATTGGAATAAATGTATGCAAGATGTGAATCGTGTGCATGTGTTTATTAGTGTATAAATGTGCACTCAGACGCCCGGCAGTCTCTTCTCTTTCTTTCTCCATCTCTTGCAAAGTAAAACTTTACATCTTAGCTGATCCCCACGGGCTTTTACATCACTATTTGCTACACAGCTGCTTCCAGTAGCGCCTACATTGGCACCTTCTTGTTAATATGACGAGAATACTCTCTAATATCGTCTATCGTTTATTAATCATGCGGATCAATGACTCAGAAAGTACATACTAACTTACTATTTTCATTTCCAACTTTTTACACACTTATCAATCACATTTGGGTTATCTCTTACTCATTTAGATGTCTATCCATTCATAATTGTCAGATGCTTATGAAATTACTACACTTTTTTTTTATCTTTTAAACTTTTTCTCTTTAGGTCGTTTATCTCTCAGTAAATACATCTCATCTTCATAGTATACGAAAAAAAAAAATTCTTTAAAATCTTTGGATACTTTTAAATTTATCAGAAAAATAGTACGATAAATCATAAATAGATTTGCGCGTTTTGAATCTTGTTAGTATGAATTTACACTCTAGAGAAGTAAAGGTTTTAAAATTCCTGTCCTCATTCATCGACCGACTAATTGGTCTCTTCGCAAAAGAGGCGAATAACCATACCATTTACGGAAACTTTGTGCAAAACGAGTTCCGAAGACCTTCACCAACGGCCTTTGATGGAACTGAAGACGTGTCATCAGCAACGCATTAGGATCTACCAAGTATTAGCATATCTCTTAATATTTTTATCATATTTTTTGCAAAAATCTGATGAATCTTTTCACATAGAATAATATCATAGAATTTCAATATCGATTCTAGCCTGGCTTTATCTTATTGCTTTTATTTAGATAACGTGCCGTAGAATCAATTGTCCATTGTCGAGAATACAATGTGGGAGTTGACTATTGGCTTCTTTCAAATGATGATTGATAGAAAAATGTTTAGAAAAATAAATAAAAAATAGTGATTGGGTAATAAACAAGTAATTCTGGTAGTTGTTAAATGAATTGACGCAGAAAATTCTTGGGCGTGGCGGGTCTTCGTACAAAGAACCACAAAGTTAATTGCGGTTTATGTACCTACATGTCGCGCCCCTGACTCTCGTCATATATGCTATAGCGCACTGTAATCGACCCTCTTACTGTCAGTTTAAAGAGGAAAATAATGGATAAGGGAAAAATATTTCTGACCTATATGATATTCGAGAATGATTCTTTTGTTTGTATTTTTCTGATTGTATCGTTGTGCTCCAAATTACTTAAATGATAATATCATATATAAATTTTATAGCTTATAAACTGAATAGTCATAGGCCACATTTTCAGAAACTATTGAGAGTGTTATATTAGTATGATCAGGTGCCATTTTCAGCGGTCGGCTTTTCACCTATATTTGAGGCATCTTTACTTTGTATTTGTAACGGTGAAGTTGAACTTATATGATTATTTTTACTCAATTGCATAAATAATTATGAAAATACTTCTATACAAATCATACAGAGTTCATTTGATAGGTTTATATGAGTTTAAAAATGAAACACAGTAATTTATAATTTTCTTTCAATATTAAATTTTGTGATAAATGTAATCATTGTTTTTAGAGATTTATGATTATGTTATCGAATATTAAGTTTAAAAAATGGATCTTAGGGTTTAGTTAATATGAAGAAAAAAAAGAAATAAAAATAAACATGTAAATAATAATATTATTTTCTTATTTGCAGAAAGTTAATGAAACTGAGAATACAACACTAAGGAATGAAAAAATCATCCGGAAAGGATCAAAAAGAGTTTCAAAAAGTAAAAATCATCAAACAGAAGAGAAAAGAAATTTTTTTGTTGATTGAAGTTTCCCTTTGAATTAAAAAATTGAAAAGCAGTATGAGGAAAAGGAAATGAATAAAAAAATCGGATAAAACTTTAGTCATTTTTTTAATGATTGTCAAGTAGCTTAAAGAATAAGTTTTTTTGCTCCAAAATTTTTTTAAGTCGAAACTTTACTATCAAGTAAATTTTATCCTGCAAATGTAGGTTTCAGGTGTGAATAAAGATTATCAGATAAAAAATAAAAACAACGCCCTCTCACTGAGTTGCATTCAAGACAAAACGAAGAAGGAAACGGGAAAGACTCGTTGGCGTTTTAGCAAAAAACTTCCAAAGGAATTACCTCGTTTTCGCTTGTATATCTGAGATTCAAGTAGGTACTGGAGACGTCTCGATGTACCGCAATTAAACGGCTACTCGCAGTTCAGAGTGTGACTAATCTGCTTGAAGACTCGATAAAAAACGGGGGAGAATAAAAAGGAAGTAATAAAAAAAGAATAATCAAAGAGAGGAACGAGGCTGAAGAATATAAAAGGAATGCCAGTAGGGATTCTCGAAATTCCTTGGAGTTCCGGTCGTTTGAGGTGGACATCCGAGTAACTCGTAAACGATCAATGTCCTTTCTCACATCCTGAACATTATGCTGATTATTCGACTACTGCGACAAAGGTAGTTTATACGGATGAGCGCACGGAGGCTTTACCGTTCGCCGATTTAAACCGTAAGTTTTATAATAAGTTCTTTATTATAAGTTGCAATTCGTTTTCATTTACATATTGTATTTGATTGAATCGTTTTACATCAACCATAATTTTATAATGTAAAATTCGATTACCTAATTAAATTTGCCATTTTCGAGGTTTTAATACATTTTTTCATAGATTTATTTGATTTACCTTTTTTGACGTCGATTGTAATTTTTTTTTACAAATTTTAGAAAAGAAGCGATTATCCAGTATACCGATACTTTTGAAAATATTCTAAGATTGTAATTTATTTCAATCATTGAAATGATTCTGGAGGAAATATTCTTGTTTTCTTTTTAATTAAATATCATTTAAATAATTTTTTAACCTGAACAAATAATTATCTTCTTCATGATAACACATTTACATGCTTCTATAACTAACTTCCTTTCTTTTAGTTTACTCTGTCAGTAGCACGAGAGTTTACTGACAACGATAGTTATCACAAGAAATGCGTAGTGTATCACGGTTGTGCTCGACCTCATTTTTCCTCTGTCTCTGATAACTACCATTCTTTGTTTCTAAAAGCTTTTAAGCTTGATGAAATAATTAAGTATATTAGAATATATATTATCCAAATTTTTCTAATTCCATCAGAAAATTTTTTTTAACTTGTAGTTGAAATCATAAGTTTTTTCCGAAAACAAAATCTTTTTTAGTATTTAAAAAATATACAGAAAAAAAGTTATCAGATTTTTTAATACAATAAAACCTTTGAAAATTGCAAGTCACAACGATGATCACATTTGAAGTTGTTCTACCATGCCATTGATGTCTGGAGTTTATGATTAATTTAATAAATTCATTTACAGGTCGGCGAATGGAAGCCTCGCTTTGGGAAAGCCCATTGACGGAAAGTTTGAGGCTAAGAAACAGCTACCGCAAAGTTGGTTAAAAAATACGTCAAAAGGAAAAAAGGATCAAAGTGGATACAGACTAGTATTCAAAAGCTGATGCCTAAGACAATACGTAACATAACAATAACAACGAGTATATCCTACGGAAGTGTATGCTCGTAAGCTTCATGTCTTTCATCATCATAAAACGATTCAGCATTTATTCCAGTCTTTTCTGTTAAGAGAAAGACACGGTCAGTGTCACTTGAATCGTTGCGCTGGTAGCATACGCCTACGATTATTTTTTCAACGTGGATGATAAATGATTATTTGTTTAATCCTTTATTGTATTGAATTAACTTTTCCATTACCAATATTGTGCCTTTGGATCTACCGATATTATCCAAAAGTTGCCATAAAATTTGAAGATCTTCTGTTTATTGCAAAAAAAAATTAAGAATAACAGGATATGAAATCAAGATTAAACGAAACTGTAGGATTTGGTTAATTTTTATGAACACAAACTTGGAAGTTTATATCTGTTATATGTGCTAAAAGACCAGTGTATAGTGAAGTTTTTATTCGATCAACAAAAAAAAATCTTAATGATTTTAAAGTGATAAAGTCTCTGGATTAGTGACTAGTGTATGTGTTAATGTGCAGATAAATAATACGAAGATGATCTTCTACGTTATATTGCTGACTTTTTTTACGAACTTAGATGCTGCTAAGCCACATTCATTGATTTATGCTGATGATAAGGTGGTGAGTAATGAAATCTATATTTGTTCTATTTATAAACAAATAATTAAGCATTAGATGATATTTTATTAAATCATGAGAATCAAGTCATGACTGAAATTTTTTTACTTTATTATATAATATAATATTTATACGCATTATTGAACTAGTATTTCGTTGATTACATTATCCTGAATGATCAAAAGATACAGCAAAAACGTTGTTTGATAAATGAATTTAATTGACAATTAATTAATAGTAATTAAGAGTACAGTAAAATTTTTGACTACTCTTCGATAATTTATTTTAAATTGTAGTACTTTTATCGAGAGTAAATTTTTATTGCATGAGTCTATTTTGATCCACTTTTCTTTATAATTGTCTCGTAAAGTATTCTTTTTTTGCTGTAATTTATATAGAATGTACTGTCATTGTTAATGAAAAAATATTTTCACATTTATCTAAATTCTCATTTATTTGGTTCTTTTTTTCGAACTCATCAATTCAGCTGAGATTTGAGAAAACTTTCTCAAGCAATCTCTTTATTCAATAAGCAAATGCATGTTTCAGTATTTTCCTATAAGCTAAAACATCGATCACGTTCAAATAACAGGAAAAAAATAAGAAAAAAATGGCAAGGGAATAAAATTTTATTTGCTGAATATATTTATGTATAGATAGCTGTTTTTCAACGTTGCATATTTTAATGTCTTTTTCAAGACATTTTTACTGAAAAAAGTTTTTTTTTCATGCGAATTTGTATCTTTTGGAGTTATCTGACAACTATGAAAGATCATCCCTCTTGACATCTTTAATTGAAAAGATATTTTCTTCAATTGTAGAATTATATTTATAATTCATTTATTAGCCATTATCTTCAATTTTCAATGACACAGTGACTAAATGTTGTAAGTAAAGATAAATTACAGCTGTTGAGAAGAAAAGTTCTCTCCCTCTTTCTTAACCTTCTTATCTTCGTGGACATCGATCTTATTAATTCGTGAACTTCCATCGCCCCTTGGTGAAATAAATGTCAAGAATACACACATGCAAGGTAGATCGATAGAGAGTAAAAGTTGTGTATCTTTTTATTACGATGGAGGACACGTTTTTCTTTAAGATCATCTCTATACTTCTTTTTCTTATATTTTATCTTCTGTCAAACCCTTGTCATTTCTGAGACACTTAATATCAAAACAACAAAGTGTAGTCAATTATGGACTGCTTTTCTTTTTTTTACATATTCTTTTTTTTCTTTTTATTTTTAGCTGGCAAAAAGAATCTATGATATAAATATTAATGTTTAAGTCATAAAGATTCAAATCAACATTGAAAATGAGCTTGGAAGTTTTTTATAGTTTATATATTTTTCGTAATTTTGGGAACTTTACATTTAAAAAAAATTGATTTGATTATAATCAAATTACTATAGTGAGGAGAAATAATCAATAATCAAAGAAAAAGTGTATCTAAATTTTTTATGTTATAAAATGGAAAAAAAACAAATATCATCTTATTTAGGGCTTTTGTGAGGAAAAGAAAATTTTTTAAATGAAGTTATGAAATTGAATATACCTCTAGACTCCTGTTGGCTTTCCTCGAATTTATGCCTATTGATGTTTAGTCACTTTCATTAGCATAAATACTTTTATTATACATTTTTAACATTGTTAGCTGGAATCAATTAATTTAACTAAAATGTGGAAATAGTTAAAATTGTCATTTATAAATTGAAGTTATTTTCAATAATAAAATTTTAGTTGAAAAAAATGCTGCAAATGAATCAAATTTTCATTTAATTTTAAACCGATAATAAATCAAAACAAAATATGCTGTTTGATTATTAGATAGAAATAAGTTTCCCTTTAAAGCGAATAAGAATACAATAAGAACTTAATTATCTTTTTTATTTTTATACAAAGACGAAAGGTTAAAAAAAATTGTGTAAAAAATGAACAAAACTTACATCGGACTTCCTACTTCTGGGTTCTTAGACTCTATAATAAAGTACATTAAAATTAATTACTCGGTTATTTCTGTGACTGTTTCAGTTCTACAGAATCACTTAGACGTTTAAATACTTTTAATGTTACCCCAAAAAAAAATCCGTTTCATATAATATTTTTTCTTTCCTCCTGGACTTTTTAATTCTCTTCTTCAGTTTTTGAAGTTATTCCTTCATTTTTCTGTTTGATTAGTTTCATAATTGATTTTTAGACATTTATTTGTTGTATTTAGAAAACTTTTTAATTCTAAAAAGGAATTAAAAGTTTCATCATACTTCATTTTTTATTTTAATCGTGAAAAATTTTTTTCATAAGAAAAATTGATTATAATGGTGGACACTTTTTAGATATTTTTAGTGTGCTAAAACTATATACTGAAAATTACAGTGTGGAAAGAAAGTTATTTACTGTAGTACAAATTAGAGATGATAAAGCATGTATAATGTACGCAAACTTGTAAACTATGTCGATATTGTATTTCAGATTTAATCTAAATAATTACAAGTTCAAAGTTCATGCAAAAATGGAATAAATTTTTTTTAGGCGAACCTGGAGTTGATATTGCAGAAAATTTCCTAATAATCAATTTTTATCATTTATTACTACAGGGTAAAATCAATTATTTTGTAATTTTAAACGTTAAAAAATTTATAGATAGAAAATTTTTTGAAAAAACTAGATGTTGAAAAAAAGAAATTTAACATTCTTTTTTGAAGTCTTAACTACTTTTGAAAGAATCTTTCATTCTTCATCAAAACTTTTTTTTTAGAAGTACTACATATTAAAGATTTATCAATAAACTCATCAAGTTATGTTTTTATAAAGTGATATAATTTTAAATTGAATTTTATTAAAATAAAAATTTTACTGTTTTTTTTAAGCTTGATTTATTTATTTTTAAAATGATTTTTTTATTTTACTATCCATGCGTAAAATATATAGTTTTATATTTTATTATTATTTATTCTTGTATTAATTATTATATTTTAAAATAAATTAGTACAATTCATGTTTTCAACTCTGCCCTCAAAAATGATGATCCAATATCTATTCAGTCGATTCATGTTCAACAGAATAAAACTACAAAATTCATTGAATATCTCCAGCAGTAGTGAAAATATTTTGTGTGAAATCCATTCATAACACTTGTAGATATACATAGCAGTGTTTATGGTTTTCAAATAATGCACATACCCAATGTAAAAATTCAAGTATCAGAATTACATATGAAATTCTTATCATTCACCATCACATTAATATTCCTTTTTTCGTATATATAAGAGAACAGTTTTTTCCTCAACTTTTTTTTATTTTCTTTCCCCGTACCTTACAGCAAGAGAACTATGCGACCTATTTTTATTATATACTATAAGGGATAAAAATGTAGAAAAGAGCAAAGTGCACTCTATCGCTATTTTATGCTGTCAGGTGTTGAATTCACAATTGTTATGTCACTTTACCCTGAGGAAGTAGTATAAATTGGAAGAAAAAAGTCTATTTTCAATTTACTTCTGTTTTTTCTCCAACATCTTTAAGATTATTCAAAGAATATTAAAGAGTTTAAGACTTGTTATTTGCTTTCCTTATATTTTAATCCTTCCAATAATTCAATATGTTGTTTAAAATTTTGCATCATACAAAATGTTTATTTGCAATTTAAACAAAAAGTAAAATAATCTTTTTCATTTTTATATAATATCGTATATATATATATACGATATTATATATATATATATATATAAATATATATATAATAAATAATAATATAAAATATATATATATTTATAATATTATGTGATTTAATAAAAAAAATGAATTAATGAAATGTTAATTTATACAATCGTTATTTCTCTGAAATATTTAATTATTTCATAAATATGATTATAATGAAAAAAATATATATGTTTTGTATGCTTTAAAACATTATCATAGATAATATAATTCAATTTCTGTATTAATTTGATAGCTAATTTTAAAGTTAACTTTCCGCATTTTTGTGAATATTAAATTAACGAGCGTAGGCTTATTTACTGTTAGAAATTTTTACCTCATTTTTAGGTAGATCTACTGTAAGCAGAGTTATCGGAGTTGTCGAAAGAAAAAGAATGAAATAAATTACAGAATAAATTTAATGTAGATAGCATTTAATAATGATATAAGCAAGGGAATAAGATATGTATGAAAAAACGAGTATAGAGAACATGCAAATTCACGGATGCCAAAGGCGATGCTTGACCAAGCATAAATATAAATACGTCGCGCCTTGACTTGAGTACTCATAAACGATTAAGGGGCACGGTTATCGACTTCTCTGGCTCCACTTTCTTTCGTACAGATCGTCAATGCGAAAGAAATTCATTCATTGAACGTCTTCTTGCGTTTATTCAATGGGGAATGTCTTCTTCGAAGTACTCTCAATGTGCAAAAAAAATTTAATGTGAAGAAAAAAAGCTTGAGAACTTCTCTTAGACGTTTAGTAATGCATTATTTGGTGGAAAAAATGAATAAAAAATCTTTTTATTTATTCGTGATGTTAATTAGCTTTGATTTATCTATTTTCGATTCACTGATTTGATTTGGTGAAAAAAAACTTTTTCTAGCAATAATGAAAAATTTAGCTGATTAAAAGTTTTGATTGTATTAATAAAGTTGAAATATGATTTGATAAATATTTCACTAAAGAAACATTTATTATTAATGAATTTTAAGAACTGTAATTAATTTAACGTGCGCTATAATGATTGAACAGCACTGTAATGTTTATTTATAATTCTTCGTATCTGATTGTGCTATGCAATTCAATCGTTTTTGGCATGAATTAATTAATTTTCAACTATAAAATTTTGTTTGTAATTATTAATACAATGATCTAACAAATATTAAGCCATTGACAATTATTTGATGAGTTGAAAAAAATAATCAAAACCGATAATTGATGAACGAGCTTGCTTTTAATTAATTAGCGTGTGGTTTTAAAAGTAAATTTTTCAATTAACAGAAAAAGTAGGTGAACTGAAC